GACGTTAAACAAATAGTCACATATTTCATTATTGAAAATATAACCATAGAAAGCCTTTTTTTTTCTTTTTAGGAGTAAGGTAACGTGGTATCAGAAAAACAGTAAATAAATATATATTTAAGCAGTCATTTATTTCATTTTGTGTATTCCATTAGCAGAGAGACCATGTTTCTATTATGACAACAGGCTTCTCAGTGGCACACAGTCACAGATCTAAAAATACTCTGTAAAACAGAAGCAGCCAATATTCAGTTTACGTTGCAGCAATCATACACCTCTGAATACATCAACCGACCTTGATCACAAAGCACATAGGACACGCAGTCTTTCTGCCACCTAAAATCATGTGAGGTTCACTGGCAGCTTTTCTAAAACAGGATTACTGCAGAAACACGACCACCACAAGCTGCAGCAGATTATCCTGTTTGTCAGATTACTCAAACAGCCACTAACTGGTTGAATGCTCGAGTCAAACTAAAGCTTCCTCTGCACGTTGTTTGACTCTGTGTGCCTATGTGATGGTTTACCTGCATCATCTTCACCGAATGAATCAGAGAAAAGAAAATCTGATAAGCTCAGGGCCTTGGGGCAATCTGATGAGAGATCTGTAGCTTCTAGCTTTATTTCAGGGAAGAGACGGTTCACATTTTAATAAACCTTGCAGAAAAGGTGTAAAAAGGAAAACTACTAAAATAAGACATTCCTGATGCAGCAAATATCAGTGAAGGCTTAAAGTACACAGACAACCTGAAGCTGAGGAATCTGACGTAATAAATGTATCCACAACAAAGTATGGCAACTGTAAATATACAGTTAACATGACACCCTAGACAGAAAAACCTAGAGATTTCTGGGTAAGAGCAGAGACCTATTTTACGAACATTATACAAATGAGTAACAACAGTAAGTCTTTGTCTTTACTATGAAGACATAACTTGTTAATAAGGCACACAAATTCATAAAGTAGTCATGAGCACAAAGCATCGATGACTACTGCAACACTTGTTTAAATAACTAAAGGTTCTGCTTGAACTTCAGATATTCAAATGAGTCTAAAGTTTTTCCATTATAAAATAAAAGACTAAATAAACCAGATCTAAATTACCCTTAGACACCAACACTGCAGAAGAGGAACATCATCAGGCGTTTAGCAGGATCACAAAAAGCTTGCCTTTCCCTTTTTAAAAGGCTTAAGATGTAAAAGTGTGTTTATTTAACAAAACCACAAAAAGGCTGTTACTAAGAGAAGAACTTGGTACGGATCCAAAACTCACAGAAGAGATTAAATCTAAAAGCTGACTTGGGGATCCTTTAGTGTGTTCACCCAGGATCTGAAAAGAGTGGGTGAGGAGGAGGAGGAGGAGGTCTGGGCATCTCCACTCAGCTCTGTGACCCAGTCCTGAATACGCAGCTGAAAATAGATGGATGAGTGGATGGAAGAAATGAAGAGAAGCTATTGCACTTCTTGAAGACAGTTTCTCAGAACCAAGGGTGACCATCAGCAGGCATGACTGGGTTTGAACGGAGTGTTCTAGTTTTTCCTGAATGATTCTTGCTAGTGGCCTCAGGTCAAAAGGAGGTCTGAGGAAGAAAGTCTACAATGGCTTAAGATACCATCTAAATCAACAACATGTTAGGCTTCTGTATCTAACATTTCTGTATTATTTGCATGGGTTTTTTTTATATAAATTCAGATTTTACTAAAAATCTTTAAACTGATTTCACTGGGTTTTATTTAACACCAATGTGTTACTGCTCTGGAAGCCCTAACAAACATTTCAGCTGTGATTGGTAAGCTGATGCAGTCAAGTAGACGTGAAAATTTTCCCAGGCGTTAATCTTTTTAATCTGTAGCTAGGAACAACACTGAATACAAACACTATGCAGTTTACAAATTTTAAAAACGACTCAAACTGTTTCAAAAAATGAAAGCCTTGGTTACTTGACTTAATTCCTATATAATCTCCCAACAAGCAAAAGCTGAAAGATGTTTGTAAAAGCAGAAGTGAAAGTCCTAAATGGCAACATTAGCATCATCAACTTCTGTTTTCAAGATGGAAAAAAAACCCTACATGTCCAGGGTTTGACAAGGTGGAAACACTATTTCACTGTTCCTCACCAACTAAATTCCAATTTTAAAGACGTCCAAGCATTTTATTCAGAAGCAATGTATAGCCAGGTCATAAAATATTTAATGTTTATTGTTTTTCTGACTGGAGAGAGGAAATTAAACCAGGCAGCGTTCATTCCACCTCTTTCAGTGGGTTAATATTAGCCAGTGACTTAACAAATATGGAACCAAGTATAGCAGGTTAAAAACTGCTCTACCTCTACAGTCCTGAATAGTGAGGGATCCTTTTACACTTCTGACCCACACAATGAGAAGTTCTTTCTTTCCTCACTCACTAAAGGCTTCCTGCAAAAACGCATTCACATCTTCAGAAGTGTGTGTTATCTGATGCAACTCACACTCCTTCCCTCTTGGTTTTGTCATCACAATGACAATCCAAGCTCTCTGCTCCTTCCTCGCTGAGGAAACATCTGCTGGGATGATTATGTAGGCCCCTGCTGGCACCGACACAGAAGATGTGGAAAAGAAAACCGACCAGTAACGAGAGGCTGGAGGGATGGACTTATCTTCACAGATTCACCAGTTTTGATTTCAACAAGAAATATCTACAGGTAGGCATAAGAAAAAAAAAAAACAAAGTTTGCAGCCTTACACAGACTGTGGGCTCAGACATAGAGATATGAGGTAAAATACAGAAAGGTAGACAGAATATTTAGGAGAACTGAAGAGTTTGCAGAATTGAATTATCCCCTCCTACCACCTTGTGCTTACATGTAAGCTCCTGTGTTCTTCATCTATTTATAAAGGCAAAAAATTAAAATATCATAAAGGAACTTGTGAATGATCCACTGAAACACTGAACCTTTGGTAATCTGTCCAAAAAGGCTAAGCAGCTTTTCCCTTCTACAGCTAAACCATAAAAGCTGCAGTCAAATCCAGAGTTCACAACTGCACAGCTGCTTAAAGTGGCCTAGTGTGAGCCAAACTTCCCTTCTCCTTGTAGCTGTCGATGAGGTGGCACATCTGGTAACGAATTATGTTAGCTAACCTTGAGCTGTCTGAACAAAAACACAACACTTAGCAAGGCGCTAATCTAATGAAAGGCTAACAAATTCCACAAGTCCAGAAGTATCTGCAGTGTCAAGAGGCTCTGGGGAGCACTGCTGCTGCCACACAAGTAGTCGTCATTACAATTATCCAGATAAAATCACCTGCTTAGATAGCTTCACTCGCTGGCCGTTGATTTGACTGTCACCTTCTCGGCACTCCTTAATTATCCCTGTTCGATATCAGGCTAWAAAAGCAGACGAGATTAGTTGCTAAGTAACATTAGCAGGGAGGCCCGACCATTACAGCACACCGGTGGTCCGAGGAGCTGTTAAGTACCGTCTGCTCTACCTGAACAACTTTATTTCAGAGTTCATTCTCCTCTTTAGCAGCCGTATGGGGAGAAAAAAGTCATTCACAATGCACAACCTGCCTGGGCGTGAACTACAACTGACCAGATATGTTCCTCCACAGGCTCCGTCTTCCGAGGAAAGAGGAAAAAGATGAAGCTAACGAGCTAAGTACAAAACTACGACTGCTCGGATCTGGCACGAGCGTGAACCACTGCAGACGGGAACGTCAGGGTGTCGACCAAAGATGAAATGTTCAAGCAAGATGGCACACTCCCTCCCGTTTATTATTAGAGGCGTTGTTGGTTTATGAAAACCTTATGGGATCAGCCCAGAAATTATTTCCATGATTGTCGCATCATTTTTTAAGTTGTTGTACAGTACAATTAATATGGTTTATTTTTTTACTTAAACTGGCTTTTCAATATGAAACATTAGTACAATCTTAGTCAACATACATCAGTTATTTGCTGAACTCTATACATTGGTTTATAATTCTTAGCTCGTATGTTTCTGCTTCTCTTGAATGACAGGGATCCCTCTTGAACTGACTTGTTGGACATCAATCTGTCCTCCACCATTTATCAAATTTTTAGAAATATTGGTGTCCCATCTGTCTCTTTTCAATCCCACTCATCAAAAAGTATAACAATGTAAACTGTAATATACAGTGCTTTGTAAAAACCCTTATTTAGCAAACTGCTTAATATTTTTCTTCAAAAGAACCAAACTTTCCTGTAATTTTTTAAAAGTGGACCTAAATMTCTCCTTTCTGAAGTTGTCAGAATATCTCTTTGGACTTTATTATTATAGTTTACCTCTTCCAATACCTCTGGACAAAAACCGTTGAAGATGTAAAATACTTTCTCAAACAAAAGCTAAAAATTCTAGATAATTATTTTGTACAAAATAATAAAAAAATAAATGTTCTGCCAACATGCATTTCTTTGTTGTCGAATGAAAAAAATGACACACWGGTGGAAAAAAGAGGCACATTTATTTTATGCTTTTGGAGCATTTCAAATGTGACAAAAAAGCCATAAAGCCATATAAAATTAAAACTATACAAATTTTACAATGAAATAAGCACAAGATGTAATGATGCTGTTCACTTGTGTGGCAGCCATCCTAAAAGACTCTCTGCTCTTATATAAAAAAGGACTTGAAACTTAGTGAAGATAAAAGTGGAAGTCTCAGATTCTGTTCATTTTTGTGTATTCTGAATCAAGATGAAAGATTTATTTTTTCTTTGCCAAACTGCGAGGAGAACTTTTGAGTAARTCTCTGATCTTCAGGTACGTTCCTGTAGCTTCAGCCACCTCTGTGAATTCAGGGGTGTCTTCAAACTGAACGATGCCAGCTGCAAACTTGCTTCGATGAGGAACAGCAGTAATCTTTTCTTCCAGCTTCTGAGAAGAAACATCTTCAGCCTCCACATTAGATGTCTCTGGATCAGGGCTCTGAGGGGTATCTTCTTGGGATTTGACAGGCTCCGGACTCTGAGGACTCTCCTCCTTAACTTTGAYTGGTCCAGGGTCTTCAGTGACAATCTCTTGTACCTCCATTTTCTGTTGATTTTCACTACYGTCACTAGGTTCAGCAGCTGTTGCTCTGTCCGCTGACTCTTCAACCTCCTCCATTTCTGTGTCTGTGCGTGCGGGTGTGGAAACACTTGGTGAACTGGGCACAGGTGTTCCTAACGCTGGCGTCTCGCTGTCACTATTAGTGGCTGAATCTGCATTTTGCAGAGCTGCCCAGATCAACCTCTGCTGCTCCTCCAGCTCCTCCAGAGTCAGTTCATCTTCTGCTTCCTCCACTTGCTCATCAACTACTGTCCAGGTACCCCCTTGCAGAGCAGGGGAGCCGTTGGTGGGTGTTGGTGGAGGTGTGCCTTTTGGGAGAGGTGGAGGATTGGGTGTAGAAGGGGGGGTGCCCTCTGGTAAAGGAGGGGGTGAACTGAAGCAAGGAGAGCCAGGTGGTAGCGGTGGTTGGAAGTGGAAGTCACCAGACCCGAGATAAGTTGTTCCTGGATCTGTGGAAAGCATAAAAAGACAGACGATCCTTTATTACTTTTCTTCATTTCACAAACAAGTTAAAAAACACGAGCTCAGTGGCTGTGAAAACTAAGACAAAAAAAAAGCTATATTTTATCAAACATTTTCTTTAAAAATATGGAATAAAATCTAATCTCCAACACAATATGTTTGCTAAAGAAAATGATGAAGATGAACAATTACCGGACTCGATATCCATGTCTGAACTTCTGTCTGAACTGCAATCAGGGCTAGGCCTCGTCTTCTTCCTCAGCTGTGGAGAAGAGTCAGATTCTTGTTGTCTTTTGTTGCTGGAGGCACCGGGCTGCAAGAGAAAACAAACAAACAAACTATAGATATTTTCTACCAAACTGTATTTTCATCATCTGTCCAATATTTTTTAACCACTGACACCAAAAAAATGAAAAAGGGTAAAAAAAWATATATAATTCTAAATCTGAAAGGACAGACTGTTGTATTAATTTCAGTATGTTTGTCACTTTAAAGAAACTAAAGTAACTGGAGCATGTAAACAGCCTGAACTGGCTTTTTTGGGGTGGTGGGGTAGTAATATCTGAGAGATAATGGAGAAATGTATAAGACTTATATGCTAAAGTATCTGGTCCTCAGTTATGGCAATTTTAAAAACAAAACAGACTGGTTTCATAGAACATTAGGACTGATCTGTTACAAAGTAGCTGTTGTGTTTACATCATTGTTAACCTGGGATATTATGTATACAGTCAAAACCACAAAGCAGTTCTAACAGGATTAAGGCCCTGGCCTACAGGTTTACAGAAGAAACCCAAACACCTAATTTCCCTCTGGGATCAATAAAGTATTTTTGAATTGAACAGAACTGAATTGTAACAGAATAAGAAAGATACCAGAGGAAAGTTGTTGGACAGGTATGCTGCATAGTTGTTCTTCATGTGGCTGCTCTGCATGGGAATTGAGCCAAAATGCATGAACTCCTAAAAGTCAGAAAAAAAGGGTTATTTGCACAAATATAAGAAAGTGCCAACAGAACTTGCTAAAACATCTGGTTTAAAAAGTGTACTATTATTATAAAAAAAATCTATAGAACAGCTTCAATGCCAAGCTATCTTAGATGAAATAAAAATCATAAAATGAAACTAAATATTTTATTGTTATTGTACAGCTTACATCTTTTAAATTATGAGGGGCAGGCACGTTGAAGCCGGGGAAATCCACCAGTTTGGAAACATCATAAGAGATGTTTTGTGTAGCGCTGCTCTGTGTTTCACTGCCATTATTTGATGCTGAAAAAGCACAAATAAAAATCTGCCAAAATCTAATATTTTGCAAGAAAATAAGAGGCCATATTGTTTAAAAAAAAAAGGTATAGAAGAACGTACCATTTCCATCATACAGTGATAAGCCAGAGTTTTCCATTTCTGCCTCCTTGAGCCAACCTGGTGGGTAGCCCAGCTGTCTCATCCGATAAATCAGAGGAGGGAGAGTGTTGCCTTTAACGCCCAGGGCTGCCAACAGCTCCTCACTATTCAAAAGCACAATGTAACCGATATCCAATATCAATCTTTAATCACAATAAACAAAATGTTTTTAGATTTAATTATTATTTTTCACAAATTAGCAACCTTACCTAATGACTCCAGGTTTAAATCTGGCAAACCGCTCCTCCACTTCATCTGCGTGGTATCGCTGGTTACACTGCATACCCTGGTTGTTCTGATTAAACTCCTTCCTTCTTTCATTTATTGCAGCCATGTCTTTAGGCTAGAAAGGTTAACAGTGCAATAAATCAAGTTTAAACTCTTTGTGTATTTGGACAATTTGGTAATTTGGACTCCTGCCATGTAAGGAATGAAAGGTACCTTTGGACAATCTCTGATCTGATGGCTGCTTGAGCCGCAGTTGAAACACATAGACTTCGGTCTGTGATAGAGTGATTAGTAACAATTTATACAGTACAAAAATAAAAGCAAGATAGTAAAATAAAATTAGAATGCAAGTTGCATAAATATTTAAAATCGTACCTTTTGTCTTTCATTTCTATTTCCTGTCCCTCAGCTCCAATCACCTGGTTGAATACCTGGAGGTAGCTGTGCTGCAATTCAGGAAGTTGTTTAACATTTGTTGCATTGATTTATTAACGATAAGATTTAAAATAAAATCCTCTGCTGAAGATTTGAAAAGCAGTCCATCTTAGTTGTTCTATCGCATCTAAACCTTTTCTGGAAAATCAAGTAGGGTCCATTAGGCTCCTAAATATAAAATTTAACATATTTTTGGTTGGAGAACATTTCCAAAGGCAGTAAATGCTTGATCCGTTCTAAAGATACGTTGGAACATCCCATCCATCGGTCAGCTGTGGGTTTTCATTCACCAGAGGCTGTCCAAGCTTGTCAACACTAAAGCTAGCAAAATATAAAACACTTCCGACCACCTAGAAGACAGAAAAAAAAACACAACAAAAATAACACATCATTATTTTTTTACAACAAATTTAGCATGCCATAATAGAGAAGTCCCCCCCAGAAAATACTCACTTTAAAGGCTTCTGTTGTTGTTCTCACACTACTGGTGGCCATCTTCTGTGGATCTTCATCCAAAGTAAAAGCTGAGTTCTTCAGAAACAGGATATTTATATGTAAACAGTGAGGTCATAAAAGGTTTACACTCAAACTAAATAAATGTTGGGAAATGCATTTCATGAAAAATACCTGGGGTTTCAAATAGAACGTTTTCTGCTTTTCACCGTTTGGTTTCTGGTGCTTTAAGATCACGCTGCAGACACAGTCTTCAATTTCTTGACGACATTGCCTAGGAGAGAAAAGTTGTTTACAGCATTTATGTACTAATTATCTCAGCCAAACCCTAACTTTATGTCAATCATATAGGACGGTCCAACGAGTTTTAACTTTCAATGAAATCATAAATATGAAAACTAAATTCATTGTCATTATTGTGTTTTCTGTCAATAACTCTCACTGTTTCAGGTCAGACGTTATTGTGCAGGGCAGTGGCGGGCAGCACTAATCTAAAAATGAGTTCCGCTAGCCCTAAAGCACTAACTCAAATCTTTAGGTCCCCTAATTTTAAAGCACTAACACACTGAAAATATAGCAAAAGCTAATTCTAAAGCACTAAAATAACCCAGTCAACCCATGGAACGTTCAACAGACAACATATTGCAGGGTTGCCCTCTTAAACCTTATTATCATTGACATTTCGCAAACTTTTTTGAATTCATAAATTGTCACCTAGTAATTAAGTGATACATATATGAACAAAATGAGTGACAGCTTTCACCTTCAGTTGTAAACATTAACGTTGATCAATAACCTTTATATAGACCTCAGTTAGTGCTTCTAAATTTAGCAAGTGCTTATCCACTAATAAATTTTTAAATTAGCAAAAGCCCTAAAGCACTAATCAGGAAATTTGCTCCCCTATTAGTGCTTTAGTGGAAATGTGCCCACCACTGGTGCAGGGAGAATTGATATGAACATAAATTTTAAGAAAAAAGCAAAGGAAAAAAATAGAATAAACTATTATACTGGTAAAAATAATAACCTACTTTGATATGATGTTATTTGCATAAAGGATTTGAAGTAATGGGCCATCTATGCCGACATCTTCAACTGTGATACCGCTGTGAAATGAAGAGAAATTGTTACTGAATTTAGGAAAGGATCAGTTTCGTTTTGTTATTTGCATAGGGTGCAACAACAGGCATAATGAGCATTACCTTGGTCGAGTCAAGATGTTCAATTTCCGTTGTAAAACTCTATGTGGACAGAAAGTTAAGAAAACATGCATACATGCCACAAAAGAACCTGAGCATATGCTAAAAGGTTTTGCAGTCTGTTTTGGTTACGAACAGTGCAGTAGCCTAGCTAGCAAACATGCTACATGCTAAGACCGAGAGCAACTGGCACAAGGATATTCTCCTCAGAAAGTTTCTGAATGTTGGCTTCATACTCTTCGAGCTTAATCCGAAGTAGGTTCGACTCATCTTGATTTTCTTCATCATCACTCGTGAAGTGAATATGCCTCGGAGGGCCAAAAGCTTCAGAGTCCTCAAGCTGCTGAAAGAGCTCACTATCCCCGAAATCAACCTCAGCCATTTTTACACTGTGGCGAACGGAACTTCTCCTTGAATTCATTGGCTCGTCCTGGTGTCACGTGTCATTGAAGGTACTGTGGGTTATTTAATCCCCACATTTAAATTTACAGGTTCAACAGAATACGCGTCAGAAAAATAAAAATTGTATCCCAAGTTTATCATATAGATGAGCGCAATTAGGACTGTACATGAGTGTAAATTTAGCTATGACACTGACACACTAAAAAACTATTATAATGAAATAATGTGTTTTTCTAGACAATACTGAGGGATAATTTAACATTATTATAKTATACGGAAAACGCATTTCCGCTGTGTTGCATTCAATTCGCACTATTTGTGTCGGTCGTTTGGCGACTTCAATTTCTGTCTTGTTTGGCAAAAACATCCGCAAGTCTTTCARTACGGTGGTAGCTCCAGCAATGTCAGACTATTCAACAGTCCAGTTAGCCTTACCGCTGTGGGTCGGAGGCTCTCGGAAAATTCGTTTCATTTACTTGGTGAATCAAACATCGTTTAGGTTGACAGATTGTCCCAATAAGGTGAAACGCTTTCCTTTCATGCCATTTTTGATTCAAGGATGATGAAATATATTTTTTAAGCTCGTTATTTGTGGTTCTTAAAGCTTTTTCAGTTTGACATTTATTGTTTTTTAATACTTATCCAATTGTTTAATATTATTTGTATTTCTCGTGGAACTACATTGAGATCTCTTAAATTTATTTCAAACGTTGTCTTGCTACTTGTAACTTGTAGCTAGTTTTTTGCTACTTCTAACTAAACGACACCCTTTTGAGAATTATATTCTTTAGATCAGAGGTGCCCAAAGTGGGGCCCGCGGGCCAAAATTGGCCCGCCAAGCCATTTGATTTGGCCCACCAGCAGTTGTGCTGTTTACTAGATTATGGTAAGATTAAATATAAAATACAAGTCACTACAAGAGACATTTAGATTAAAGTCCACATCAAGATTTGCACGCATTATAAGACCCCATATACTCAAATTTTAAATTATGAAAAGTCCCATGAGCCTTTGCTGCCTGAGCATAAGTTGAATTTTCTCAATGTCCATGGGCTGAAAGAAAAATAAATATGGGCAACCACATTAGCTTAATCATAAAAGAATAAAACAACTTTACTTTTTTTAAGAAGTGTTTGCATTTCTGCATTTCTTTCTGGCCAAAAAAAAAAAAACTATTTGCATTTCTTATATCATTGCATTTGGCCCACGGCCCTCAGGTTGATTTTAATTTTGGCCCTCTCAGGAAAAAATGTTTGGGCACCCCTGCTTTAGATAGCCTTTTGCTGCTTTTTGCTACATTTAGCTTTTAGCTAGACTTTTGCTACTTTAAAAACAAATGTAACTCTAGTTAGCGTACACATTTAACCTCCCTATTCTGTGTTATCTATWAAAAAAACTTAACTTAAAACATTTTGTGATATTATTTTTGTCAGGGCCCATTGATACCACTCTATCTGGGAGCTGATCTCCTCTCTAACACTGACATCCGGATAGAAAACCATCCTAGGTACCATGCTAAGTTTGCCAAGAAAGGACTTGCCACAAAAATAAAGTTTTCTTCAGGTAAGCTGAAAAACAAAAGAATGTGTTGCATTAAAGAAACAAGATCGACAAACATGACAGAGCTGTTGTGTGTTTTGGTTTGTTGCAGCTTTCAGGTTCCAGGGGTTGAAGGTTCCTGCATCAAACAACAGCCTGTGGTTCTACAATATTCAAGGACTTTTTCGAGTTGCCTTTGAAATGTACACTAAGCTGGAGCAGCTTGCAGTGCTGGAGAATTTTCAGGTTCATGCAACATCCTGATGAAGAGGATGCTTTCTGTTTTTCTATTTAATGCTGTCGTGTTGTTCTTTACAGGATGTTTGGAAATCTCAGATCGATGAAAGTCCACTGGAGATGACTTACAGCCTCACTGTGCAGCTTGACGCTCCAGCATCTCCCAGTGTGTTTGAAACAGAAGTGTGTGAAATGTCAGATCGTCCTTGTTGTGAGGATGAAGGGGACCCAGCGCATCTTAGTGGCAGTGATGTGGCTGATAAATCAGCAGATCATAATTATTGTACTTTTTCATCAGATAGCCAGCCACTTGTAGCCTCTCTCAGAGAACGATTGCACAGTTTGGCTGACCAGCTATCCTCTCAACCTCAAAGCTGCGCAGAACGTTTGGAAACCATTCTACTTCTTCTGAAGTGTATCGATCAACAAGTGACAGGTGATCTAAAAGAGAAGGATGCAGCTGAAACTGTGTTAGCCCTGCTGAAGGCCGAGGACTGGACCAAAGACTCTGTGTATTCGAGCTACCTGCTCACTTGTATAGGAAGCTGGCTCGGCCAACAGTTTCACGCAGCCAACAGCAGCATCAGCCAGAAGGTGGAGGGCTTCAAAGTTCAGCACATCGAGAGAATAAGTGACCTGCCGCCCGCCGAGGAACTGACCGCAGAACTGTTCCCTGAAGCCATGCAGACGCTGCTGCTTCACTGGATGGGCTTATGGGAAGAGTCATCGCTGGAAAAGAGACGGAGCGAATACCCAATCCTGCTCCTTATTCTTGAGTTTGCAAACCACAACCTCATCACCGGCGTGGCTCATGTGCTGTACTCAAGTCTTATCTGCAAGTGAAGTCAGATTAACAACCATTTTTCTATCGAGACTATTTCTGATTCAAATTTAGCAAATGGTATCTGGAGTTGCATTCAGTTTATGGTTGGATGTATTTGCTAGAATTTCTTAGTAAACATCCCTTTCAGACGCAATCTGCTTTAGGAATACACAAGAAAGTGTGTAAAATGAGGGGGGTTGCTCAAGACCTTTGCACAGCACTGAATATAAAACACTATTACAATCAAGTTGAGATTTTTTGTTAGTCAAAAGGCTAGGTATAATATCCAAATTAGTCAAATTAATCTGTTTAAGGCAAAGATGAGCTCTTTACTGTGAACTTGTAATCAGATCACTGATGAAAATGTCTTTTTCTCAAATGTAGCATCAAAATTCAGTCAGTTTTGCTGTTCTGTATATAAACCCTGTGGCACATGTAAAACACAACAGAAGTACCACGAAAAATTTCTTTCCAACACAAAATTTAATTCAAAGACATCTGAAATATTTGATTACTCCCTTCAAGATGACTACAGCCCATAGAAATTCAGAAAACTATGTCCATCAACCAGGGTTTGTTATTGCCAATCAAAAAGAAAAAACAGGATTCTGATAATGCTACCATTGACCTAGGATGCCTTTTGCTAAATGGATGTAAACAGCGTCCACTTAAACCACATCGTATTCAGACAATCACATATCTATATTTGAGTTTAAAAAAGCTACCACATTGTTGGAAAAAAAAATCTACCTTTGCATCAGTCAATGTGTTTTTTTTTGTTTTTTTACAAAGATGTACAGATTAATAAACACTGAGACAAACTCAGCATTGTTCTATTTACATTACCATGTTACAATTAGTCTATAAATAAATTACAGGTTCAAAGCAACATCCATGCAAGCTGAAGAGCTAGCGATGATTTGGTGGTTTTAAACGATGAGAGGAAGTGACTGTCTGCGTTTGGCACTAAACGGAATCCATTCCTCGAGAGAACGAGGAGGAGAAGCCCAAGCCCATTCCCCTCTGGGTGTGTGTCTGAGACCGTGCCATCTCATACTGCACATCAAGGTTCCTGAACATCTCCTCCTGTTTCTGAAGAGTCTTCAGGCCTTCATCATTAATTGGTTTGGAAACTTCTGCCTCTTCATCCTCACCCTGTTAAGACACAAATGCATTTAGCTTGGACAAATTAAAACTATGAAAACACAAAAGGGAAACAACATGCTTACCTTAATACCCATCAGTTTCCGAAATTTAACATTCTGGTCCTTGTTTCCAAAGTTTAGCTTCTCCCACAACTCTGCTGTTTGAGACTTTTCCTAAGTAAACAAACAGCTAAGTGTCACACAAACAAAGCGTGAAAACAATTATTAATCAAAATATAAATTTTCTTGGTTTGTTGACCTTAAAGTGCCGGTGACATCAAATTTTTGTAATACGTATGACTGCATTTTTTTGGAAAGAGGACATTTGTGAAATATTGCAAAAGAAATTTCATGTTGCTGAGATGAACAGTTGTTCAGATATTTGCCTGTGAAGTAACAGGAAGTGATATCAAAGGGGAACATCTGCAAGTGAACAGAGCGTTKCTTCAACAGCCAACAACCCAGACTGTAGAGAAGAATCTGATGTTTCTTAAGATTATTTTGAGTCCCCTATYAGAGATGAAGAAGAAGTCAGAGTTCAAATAATATTGTTTCAATAAACAAAGACCAGAGACTTTTCTTTGTTAAAGAGTTCCCATTTGATGTCACTTCCTGTTTCACTTTGGCTGAGCCAAGTTCAAAAGAAAATATGCCAGTTATGGGATAAAACGGGTTAAATCGTGTGTATTATTCCAACTTTCTTAAATATAAAGATGTTTTCTTTGACTTTTTGTATATGAAAAATATGCATGTCACAGGCACTTTAATGTAAAGACAACTTACCCCTTCTTTTTTTCCCTGCCATAGCATTTTCCTCTTTTTCTCCTGCTCTGCGAACTTGGAGGGATTTACAGCGGACGGGTTATAAAAGCTGGGCACCGCGATACCCGTCTCGGCCAGAGTTTTGGCTTGAAGGGCTGCCATCTGCGCAGCCATGGCAATCTGAGGAGTAACTTGTGTCCCGGAGGCCAAAAGGGCTGCCACGTTGAGAGCCGGGTTCGAGGCTGCCGCTGCAGCAGCTGCTGCAATGGGGGCAGCCACAGCTGTGAACAAAACAGAGCAGCGTAAACAACAGAATATTATCTCTTAAAGGGGACCTATTATGCAAAATTCACTTTTTAAAGGTTTTTTTACTCAACTTTGGGTATGTACTTCTTAAAAAAAACAGTCCTAGGACCAAAAAAATGCAACGAGGGGCATATTTACTGTAGGTAAATGTATTTTTAATGTATATTAATGACAAGTTTTATACTTCCGTCATTTTCTTACCTAGCAACCCCTGGGAGAAACTCCACCTCCTCAGTATAAAAAAACGTTACGGTGTTGTTGTGCAATGCGCAGCTCATTTCATAACAAGCCTCCAATAGGGCAATGGGTAGAGTGTTGGACCAGAGAGTGGGAGACCAGGGTTCGAGACCGGCATGGACAYAATTTATTTATTTATTTATTTTCGTTCGTTATGAACACRTTTTCTCATGTACCTCCATTGTTTAGATTATTAAAGCCTTGTTAAAGCCTATTTGTTGAGTTTCTGAGGTATTTTGACYGSTGCTGCTCCCTGCTCTGGTAACAGCATGCAGAGTGAGCGCAGAGCAGAGGAGGGAGAAGAAAAAAAAAGAAGCTGCGACCACGACTCTGCCTCTGGGTCTCACTCAGGATCTATATACGGTTGTACAACGGGGCTTCTGCTATTATTAGCCATGCTAACGTAAACGCTGGCTTTGGAGGGCGGAGTTAATGTCAACAGRTTTTTGGAGGGCGTTACCAACAGAGCTCATTAACATAAACAGCTCTTTTGAACAGAAGTCAGAGCAGGCAGAACTAGAAAATGGGAAATTTTATTATTTGAGAATTATTTTGTGCATTAAATTGAATGAACATGGTCTGGATAGCCCATAGACATACCATAAAAATTTCTAGGACCCATAATTGGTCTCCTTTAACATCAACACGCACATCGAGGTGGAAACAAGCCAATTCTCACCTGCAACTATTTCCTGCTGTTGCTGCTGATGTTTCTCGTGCTTTTCTTTTTCTTTCTGCTCCTGCAGCTTTTTGGCTCTCTCAAGCCTGGACCCAAAAAAACAAAAACAAACTTATTTAATTCAATCAATTAAAAATAAAAAATAAGACCTAAACAGTGTTTAACTGTGTGTTACATAAAGCAAATACACACATTATTTGTGGGGGAAAGAAATACCCGTCAAACCACCAATACAGGACAAATTAAGGTTGAACATTATAAAAGAGCACATTAGCTGTTGCCTTACCTTCTGGCTAGAGCCTCTTGTGCATCCATAGCCGTGTTTCGGCCTCGGAAGACCAGTGGACTAGCAGACCTACTTCGACTTTTTTTGTGTACTTTCTCAATTTTCTTCTTTCGCTCCCTAAAACAAAACCAAAGAAAAAAAATCAACAAATACCATTAATGAGATAGGAGATGAGAAAGGAATTTAAAATGTTTTATTACACCAACCTGCTCTTGCTACGACTTCTGCTGTGGTGACGGTGTTTGGTCCTCGAACCTGAACGAGAACGAGCCTTCCTCTTCCTGTCCTTGCTGCGCGATCGTGACCGCCGCTGCTCCTTACTTCGGCTGTGGTGTCGCCTTAAAGCGGACAATTAAGATAAATTACTAATGGACACAAAAAGGATGCAGAACGATTTWATTCTTGTGACCAGACTTGCCTCTCTCTTGAGTGTGACCTGGATAAGCTTCGGCCTCTCGAAGATCGCCTTTCCTTTCGCCTGGACCGCTCCTCTCCGTTCTCCGTTGAGTGTCTCTCCTCTTTCGGACCATCTGTTTTTCTGTAAGATTTTGGTGGCTTCTCAGAGTCCCTTTTTCGTGCCTGTTTTAAGAAGAAGTTGTCTCTTTCAGGAAAATAGTGCAACAAAAAGAGTTAGTACCATGGCTTACAACAGAAAGAAAGTAATAAAGTTGACAAAATGAAAAAACCTTGTCAAGTCGAACCCATCTTAAAAACAATAAAACATTTGCAGAGATTGGTTACAAATGTGGGCATTTCTGTGTATGCACAATTTTGGCTGCAAACATGAGGATGGTTAGGAATAGGAATAAGAATTAAAGATAGTAATTTGGAGCCCTTTGGGTGGTTTTAATAAAGTGCATGCAAATGTTAAATTATGATTCTCAGGTTTATAAATTTCACAATTTGGTACAATCTAAATATTTTGAATTTGCACCCAATGGCAGGTTAAAAAGAATGAGCATCCAACTTAGTTTTTAAAACATTTTAATGCAATTTAGGATTCATTGAATGCCCATTCTTAGCTGCGAGAAATGAAAATATTTAATGCCACTTTTTCTACTAATAATGTGAGACAAATATGAGTTTGAATGGCAGATAGTTACCTGTCCCAGTAGTAGGCATATTATTTTGCTATGTCAGCAGGGTCTTCTGTTCAGTCTCTTCGTGCTTTAGCACGCTGAGTATGATTTATTGTAGAAATGTTATCATGTGATCTACACACAGGTTTTAACAAAAATAAAAGAAAGTCTACTCTTCACCATTTTTATGGCTACAATGACAGATATCCAAGGACACAAGCTTCCTTTGAGACTTGTGAACATAAGGCAGGCAAAAGTACACCCTTTCCACATGAGCTCAACGCACATTTTTTGTTCTGAACTCTATTATAAATATTTACCTACATACTCACCTTAACCTACAGCTAGTATCTATTGCCCTAAAAATATCACAATAACTGTGCTTCTAATTATGTAAATGAATGTATCATTTACCTCTTTGCTCCTGCTACGACTTCGTCTGTATTTTCTGTCACCTGGAAAAAGCAGAAAGCAAACTGCTCAAACACTCAAAAGGTTTTTTCACGTTAATCAGAAGAAAACATGTTAAATATGTTATCTAAACAAAACACAAGCCCAGACACCTCACAAATAACAGGTTTTTTTGTTGCTCTATCAGTGTGAGAAACTCTGTTCTTCACACACATTCAGCTGATAATACACAATTAACAAGAAAAAATTTCCTACTGTGGGTAATTCCAGTTAAAATTTTCAATATCTTTAGAGTAACGTTACAGAATACTGACGTTTTCTGTCCCTCGAACGAGATCTTGATCGTGAATGGTGATGTTTAGACATTCTAGGAGATCTAGAGGAGTCCACACTGTGCTTTTTTCTTCGATGAACTGGCGAGCCCGATCTGGTTAAGTCAGCAGAGTCATCACTTGCCTAAAACAAATGAAAATGAAAGAGCAAGTCAGCAGCCACTTCATGTAGTCGGATGGAAACAGGTCATTATTACGTGAGAGATTTGCTGTAGTGTTCTGAATGACCATAACTCGTGTCAGAGTCATAAAGACTAAAAAGGCACATTTAACAAAACTAAATCAACTGAGAAAATTATATAAAACATTTTAGTGATGAATTACTTCAACTTCAAAAGACGGAGGCACAAATTAGAAAACATTCAATACCTATAAAATTCTACACAACAGTATAAACACAAATGTTGTGACACAGTAATCAAACACATACACTCCAAATAAATAATGCGTGTCTGTTTAATTGCATCTGGTCCCTCCACATACACTGAATATTTGATGTCTCCTTAAAAATCATCATTAACACCCAACTTACTTCTATTTAGCAGAAACCAGAAACAAAATATGAACACCATAAATGTTAAAGTTAGTTTAGGATTCAAATACCAGATAGTATTATAGCTATGCAATTGTATTTATAGCACTCTCATTCAAATACCGCAACATGTTCGACCTCAATGTCTGGCACACTCATAATCAATGTCACTGTTGATCACAGTGTTAAATAATTATTAGCTGTTTCATACATGTCCTAAACAAGGCCAGTTTTACATGAAATCCGTATGTATTTTATTTATTTTAAGCTGTAAGCTTACAGTTTCAGTGTTAGCTTTGTCGCTTAGCTCACCGACCGCCGCCATCTTTGGGAGAAATATCTGTTCCACCACTTGGTAAATATATATACAAATTTTACGTGTAAAATGCTTCGTTTGTGTCTGCTTCGATGTTCTGGAACCCGGTTGAACTTACCGACATCTCCCTGAAGCTCAATATATACACGCAGCGATTTTAATTTTGTTGTAGCTGCAAACAAAACCGGAGAGGAGAGTAGCTGCCAGGCCGACCTTCTTCAGCTAATTTCATCTGAGTTGCCAGGTCGTGTCCTTCATGCAAAAGAACGAAAATACAAAACACCAGAAAACTGAAGCGTAAAAGAAAATCTAAACGGCACAAAACACATATATTTATTTTTTGTTTACTTAGCAAGAGAAATAAAGTTTTGAGGATTTGATAAACGGGAGGAAGGGTCATTGTGTCTACTTTAATCTTTTTAAAATAGTCATGGTTTTATTTTAACTAAGACAACAGTCATTGTCAGCAGAAATAATTGCAGAGGAACTTCTTGAAGTACATATTTACAGTAATATAGTTTATGTGAAAGTAAAAATACGTTAGAAACAAAAATATCTGTTTACAGTGCTGCAAATGTAGCAAAGTAAATTCCCCTAAACTGGAATACCTCTTTTTCTATCCATGTACATTCCCAATCAAACCTGGCAACTTAAAAAGGTTCATTACGGTTTTTTACCCTACGTTAGTTTTGTCAGGCACAAGTTATTGTTACACTATGCACATTCCACACAAACTTCACAGTTTACACAGTCATATTTAGAGTAAATATATGTTATGTTAAAAATGTTGCTGTTATATAAGCCTTATTTGTCAATTTTACGAAAGACGCAGGGCTTATATGTAACTCGGGAAAGAAGCTGCGCCTGGAAGACAAAACGCAGGGTATCAGATAAAAAGTTTTCCAAAAACAACCCGCCAAATAGGCTCTAATGTTGAGGAGTTGATCCTCACGATTTGCTTTCTTTTAGTTTTGTCCGTAAAGTGTAGAGCCTATTTACCACTCGGTGTGTACATATTTTATCCGACGGAACACAGTCGGTTTTACACGAACAGGTGCGTTTTGTTGGCTTGTAAATTTTTAGCTCGAGTCGTCTTTAACGTCGTAATTACCGTCGGTTTTGTAAGCTAATGTACGATCTGGCAGCTAAAATAAAATAGTCACTGATATATATCTGTCGTCTGACTAGCTTCACGCCATGGCGAYGTGGAGCGACGTTGAACTCCTGACCAACGAGGACACTGGCTCGGGCCGCTTTGACAGCGTTTCTAACAAGGAGGAGGAAAATGGAAGCAGCTTGTATCAGCTGGACACACTGGTCAAAATCTCCTCTGCCAGTCAGGTAATCCCAGCCAGCTCTCGTTGTCAGTTTATTAAATGAACATGTAGCTAAGAATACCGAAACCCTGGCTGTATTTATGTTGCAGGTGGAAACAGATCCCCGGCTGTCGTCTTTTGGTGGTTCAAACTGGAGGATTGTTGTTGTTGACAAGACAGTGATCCTGTTTGATGAGAGCTATCAGACCGTCCTGCTGCTGCTCCACTTTGGTAAACCATCACTTTTTTTTCCCACAATTTCACTTTAACATTTCTCCTAGGCTTGGTGTCAAAATGTGACTTTGCTTTTGTAACAGTAATTRAGGAAATAATTCATAGGATTGGAAGTGTTTATTGTTATGCACAACTGGAGACATGTTTCCCTGAGCAGTGAAACTCTTACTTTGCTGTCCACAATGAGTGCCAGGAGAGACTATATATATATATATATAGTACCAATAGGTAGTGTGCCAAATTGAAAAACAAAACAAATAAGTAAGTCAAAAAGGTGCAAATTTGCTAGAGGTAACAGTCCAGTGACAGAAACATTTAAGAGTCTCATGGCACTTGGGAAGAAGTAGTTGGAGGTCCAGCATTTTGCACTTCTATACCTCTGGCCTGAAGGTAGCAGTGTGAATAATCCATTGGGTGTCTCTTCAAAAAGAACAATACAGTTAAACCAGTTTCAAAATCAAATGTTTGAGCAGAAATTTTGAGTCTCTTCCTTAACGGCTGATTTTATAATGACACAGTATTTGGAGTTTTTACTGATGCTGTTTCTGAAGGTGATTTCTCTGATTTGTGATAATCATCCAATTTTTTTGTTTGTTTTTTTAAGCTCACTAAAAATTTAATTGAAATAAAAATAGAAGTGGTCTTGTGCCCTCCGCTAGGGCTCGTGTCCCACAGTCTGTCTGGGTTGGTAAATAAATATATTTTATAAAGAACCAGAATACTGATAATCGATTTAAGGATTTAAAGGTTTTGTCAAAATGAAATAAACTGAATTGCTGTACCTTTTAAACATTTTTTGTTTTGTTTTATTTTAATCCTTTCAGAAACTGATGTGGATGCCATTGATGTTTGCCTTGGAGGACATTTTCTGGTGGTTTGTGAAAGAAATGGAAACCTTCATTTGGTTTATGTTCCAAACAAGAGTATCCTCCTCACTAGGGTATGGCTTTTTTTAACCTTTATTATTAGGGACATTTTTAACAAGATGACAGAAAATATTATTATTACCTCCAGTTTCTACAATGTACTCGGTTAAAAAATATAAACTGTGACAGAATCAGCTCTGTGTAATTTTGTGTTTATTTTATGCTGCAGTTATGTTTGACTTGTGTATAATATTACTATGCTGTTTTTTTTTTCAGGCTTTGGTTGATGAACCATCAAGTGAAAACAAGAAAACATATCGCTATCTCATCATAGATGAGGACAAGTCATCCCCAGGTAAAATGTTATACTTATATGAGAAGAAATTTCCATGCCTAATACAGTATATATTTTGTTTCATCACGTTTGTAAAACTAATGTTTTCGTTCCTAATCTAGCTTAATATGATTTGTTGTATCACAACAGGGATGTATTACATTATCCTTCTTATAAAGGATGGCTTTTTCCACATTTCAAACCTTGTTTTGGCTAAGATCGAGACAGGTATCAACGTCTTTTATGTCAAAACTTACATTTTTTATTTGGTGGAGTGTTGTTTAATCTAATTTAAATGTTTCCTATACCACTACAGCTATAGAAAAAATGGATGTGGGCTCTTTGAAAGAAGCAAGTTATTCACTTTTCTTTCCACTCATTTGTAAAAAATGCTGCTTTTGTTTGTAATCAAAGAGAAAATAATTTTACTTTGTCTTCATTTAGCTTCAGAGTCTCATCAAAATAGACTTTTGCTCCACTAAGGACTACCACGGTGAGGGCTGCAGCACCGCAGTCCTGTTCAATCTTGGCCTTGAAACCCACCTGATGATTGGGGTTAGTGTCTATGAGAGATCATTTATAATTGACTTATTAATTGTAACTCTCTGTAACACGTTTGCATGCAAACAAAGCCAAAGGTAAAAACCAAATTAAAATAATTAAAATAAAAGTTGATTATGATTTGTTGCAACTCATAAATTGTTAGGGAGATGAAGAAAACGTTGTGACCCACTGGAAGATGGATCGTCTTCAGGCAAAGATGTGCTTCGCTCAGTCTTTTGACAGCAGCTTGATTCCTGGTAACGTTTTTGTTTTTGAGAATGATCATGGCAGAAATTAGACCATTTGTAGAAAAGTGATAGTGTTTTGTTTTAGTGTGTAGACAACTACACTCACCGGCCACTTTATTAGGTACACCACGCTAGTAACGGGTTGGACCCCCTTTTGCCTTCAGAACTGCCTCAATTCTTCGTGGCATAGATTCAACAAGGTGCTGGAAGCATTCCTCAGAGATTTTGGTCCATATTGACATGATGGCATCACACAGTTGTCGCAGATTTGTCGGCTGCACATCCATGATGCAAATCTCCCGTTCCACCACATCCCAAAGATGCTCTATTGGATTGAGATCTGGTGACTGTGGAGGCCATTTGAGTACAGTGAACTCATTGTCATGTTCAAGAAACCAGTCTGAGATGATTCCAGCTTTATGACATGGCGCATTATCCTGCTGAAAGTAGCCATCAGATGTTGGGTACATTGTGGTCATAAAGGGATGGACATGGTCAGCAACAATACTCAGGTAGGCTGTGGCGTTGCAACGATGCTCAATTGGTACCAAGGGGCCCAAAGAGTGCCAAGAAAAGATTCCCCACACCATGACACCACCACCACCAGCCTGAACCGTTGATACAAGGCAGGATGGATCCATGCTTTCATGTTGTTGACGCCAAATTCTGATCCTACCATCCGAATGGCGCAGCAGAAATCGAGACTCATCAGACCAGGCAACGTTTTTCCAATCTTCTCTTGTCCAATTTCGATGAGCTTGTGCAAATTGTAGCCTCAGTTTCCTGTTCTTAGCTGAAAGGAGTGGCACCCGGTGTGGTCTTCTGCTGCTGAAGCCCATCTGCCTCAAAGTTCGACRTRYTGTGTGTTCAGAGATGCTCTTCTGCCTACCTTGGTTGTAACGGGTGGTTATTTGAGTCACTGTTGCCTTTCTATCAGCTCGAACCAGTCTGCCCATTCTCCTCTGACCTCTGGCATCAACAAGGCATTTCCGCCCACAGGACTGCCGCTCGCTGGATGTTTTTTCTTTTTCGGACCATTCTCTGTAAACCCTAGAGATGGTTGTGCGTGAAAATCCCAGTAGATCAGCAGTTTCTGAAATACTCAGACCAGCCCTTCTGGCACCAACAACCATGCCACGTTCAAAGGCACTCAAATCACCTTTCTTCCCCATACTGATGCTCGGTTTGAACTGCAGGAGATTGTCTTGACCATGTCTACATGCCTAAATGCACTGAGTTGCCGCCATGTGATTGGCTGATTAGAAATTAAGTGTTAACGAGCAGTTGGACAGGTGTACCTAATAAAGTGGCCGGTGAGTGTAGAGAAACAAGAACGTGACGAGTCAAAAGTTGTTTTTTTTGTCTCTGTTTCTTCAGGTGTAAAGAAAATGGCCGTAGTGGAAAATCAGTTGTATATTTTGGACTCTGAAGTGAGTTCAGCTGTGTCATTATGAGCCGTTTAATGTCTGGCATGTATTTAAATGTTAACATTGTGGTGCAAATGTTTCCTCTGTGTCAGGACATTCTGAGCCTTTGGGACCTTCATTTCCTCGTCATGATTCACTGCTGGCCAGATCTCACCATTCATGACTTTGAACTCACCACCGAGTGCGGCTCTGCCTCCATGGTGGCGTACGTATCTGTGTGCCAAGAACAAAGTGTCCCTCTTTGACACAAAGCTGAAAATATTTAATTATTTTGTTTTGTTTATTGCAGCCAAGACAAGGGCAGCATGAGAATGATCACACTGACTAAGCAAGAAAACAGTCAGGTAACAGCACATTATGTTTAAAACAGGTGAATACTTTAAAGTTCTGTTCTGAAGTTGATCCACTTATTTTTATATTTCAGATCAGCTCCCTTCAAATAAGATTTCTGCCCTCCATGAGTGTTTGCTATTCTCTGGATGTCTCCTCCGTCTCCTGTCTCCTTCAGATGAAAACAAATATGGTAAACGATCAAACCGAATAAAAAACATTGCATGGATTTTTGCACGTGTTGTTTCTAGTTAAAATTTCTTACTTTAGACATTTGTGTCCTATGCTTATTTTCAGGATACAATTTATTTGGTTGAGGGGATGTGTGAGAACCCAGAAAGGTGAGATCATTTGAATAATTTCCCACCAATACGTGTATGTTTGCTGTTAAGCAGGACTTATTTTTAACCGTCTTTTCAAGCAGTCGAGGAGAACCTGTAGCTTCTGTCGTCGTCAGATGTTTCACAGAGGCTTTACCTGAGAACAGGTAGCTAATTTTCATTTGTTACATCTTTGCATGATCCAAAATTTGCAACTTGTTTATTTGCACCATGTTTGTTTCTTGTCATAGACTTAGCAGACTTCTTTACAAACACATGTTTGAAGAGGCTGAGAAGTTTGCCATCACATTTGACCTCGATTTAGAGGTAAACATGACTTTTTTTGTATTTAAATATAGACAGGCTTTAATGGTAATCTGTTAATATTGATGGTTTTCTGTCRCAGCTCGTCTACAAAGTGAAGCTTGACTTTGTGCTGGAGCAGCTGGCCTCGGCTTCAGTGGGTGGATATGGACAGGATGTGTGGTCGGAACTTGTAGATGAGGCCAAAACCAACCTGATRAAAATCACAGTGAGTCCCAAAAAAAGCTACTTTTATTTCACCTCAGTTTATGTTTTCAAATAGGTAACAATTTTAGAGCAAATACTCCAAGTCGGAAGCTTCATGCTCAGAGTTGTGTGTTTGTAGGATGAGCAGTACGTGGTGGAATACTGCCTCAAGGCTCCCTGGCCGACCTTTGAGACTGCAGAGAAGATGCTGAATCATGTCGCCTCGCGATACTCCTCCTTACAAATCCAAGAGGCCTTGGCCAGGCTGGCAACATTCTGCAACCTCCATGGCTTGGAAAATTTTAAGTAACGTCTATGTTTTATTGTCCAGCACTTTTTGTTTGTTTTAGTATTTTATCTTGTAGTTTAATCGTTGTGTCAAAATCTGTTATATTTACTCTGTTTTGTATCCTCCAGTGGAATTACCTGGATTGAGTTTCTGAACAACACTGATAATCTGGGAGATGTTTTGACACATCTAAGGGAAGGAGACATGAAGGGTGCACAGTTTCTTTGGCTCAGATATGAGGTAATTTAAATAAATGAATCGGTTCACAGAAACATTTATTTATTAATAATTTAAGCATTAAAGTCAATAGAAGGGACTAAACCAGACAGTTTTATGAAAATCACACTAAGTTCAGATTTGTCATTGTATCCTGATTGTTTTGTTTTTTATTTTTATTTTTTGGCAGGGGCAGATTGCTGAAGAGTTTAATGAAAACAGTTTGGAAGCGATTCTCAGTGTCATTCCTGAGGACCTGCCCTCCCAGGACCTCTGTCCATGGTTCAAGACCGTGTTTGTCCCTTTTGTGAGGAGAGTTCTGCCAAAGGGTCAGGTAAGATATATTCATCTGTACATGCAGTTTCTTCTTCACTGTGTTGTGTTGTATTTGTTTAAAGGAAACATTTTTGTGCCCTCAGAGAATTCTGGCAAAGTGGCTTGAGCAAAAGGCAAGGAACTTGGAGTTAACTGAAAAGGTAAAGAAGATCATTAATATCCCACAATAACAAATATACTGTTAGTTGTAGGAAGGGACATATTTGAGCATTGTATAGTAATATTTATACTTTTTATTTATTTTATTTAATTCAATCAGTCATGAAGAATTAAATTTTTTTCCCAGGCTTCTTGGCCTCAAAACGGGCTGAACTTGGCGATGCTAGGACTTCCCTCATTATGGACCTGGATGACATCTGTAGTAAGATCGACTACTGTTTCCATTTCCTTCACAAAAAAGACCAGTTTGAAACGTGGAGTATTTCTACTGTTTATAATGTTTTCACAGGATGATAACGATGGTGCAAATGAGTTGGACAACCTGAAATCCCTGGTTTCCAGTCTTCGTCGGCTGCTCGACCTCCACCAGAAATACAACTGCAGGCTTTCTCTTTCAGTGTTTGAGAAGGTTTGTTTATTATCAGTGATTGTGCTCTTGTTGCTCCTCATTGTGATGTAGTGTACTTGAAATTGGACCAGATCAGAATTTGTAAATTGTCTAAAGTTAAAAGGTTCACAACATTTTTTTTATTAAGTTCTTGTGATCAGACCAACTGACTCGACATTTAAGTGCTGCAAAAATAGTTTTGCCATTTTTCGTTTTCACCACACACGGCTTTGTTTATTACTCTCTTGAATGAATCTTATCGTTGTTCTGCTGTGACTCATGTTGATCGTTGTGTTTGTTTAAAAGAGAAGCGTGTGGAGTGTGGCGTTCTTTATGCTGGACAAAGTTCCTGCTCCAGAGCTGATTGCTGCTACAGTGGAAAACCACATCAAGCCGTATGCCAAAGAGCACAAGATACCTTTTGATGAATTATTGCTACAGTACATTAAGGTAAAATGTTGTTATTTTTTTATTTGATTTGAGATATTAATGTTATCTAAAAATGACGATGAACTACTGAAAAGACATAAAAAGTAAACTTGACATAGTAAATCTGGAACTGACTAGGATCTGCTGGAGCGCTGCAGTTCTCGCGTCACAACACTTTTCACAGAATGGGAAGCCAAAGCGGTGGCAGTGCTCGGCTGCATGACTGACACTGATGTAAGTTTGTCCACAAGATGTAAAGAAAAACTTCTACAAGTGCAAATATTGGAGTAAAAAAAATCAACCTTGTCTGTAGCAAAGAAGACCAGACAAACTGTAAAAATAAAGTAACRTTTGTACTGTAGTTGAAGGTGGATGCTGTGCTGGAGATCATGCAGAAAGCTGTGGTACCCTGGAGTAACGTGGTGGAGACACTTGTGCAGCAGTACCTAGAGATGGATGGACCCAAGTATGATCACACTCTTCTCATCATAGATAACTGCTAACAACAGAAGTCTGATTTTATTCTTGTTTTTAGACAAGAGCTCCTGAAGGAGAGTTACCATCTGATGGAGATCAGGAAACTTCTCCGGGGATACGGCATCCGCAATTTCACTCTCTCCAACAGCACTGAAGTCATGGTAAACTTGACTTTATTTACCACGAGGCGATGCCCATGAAGTAACATTTATTTATCTTTAACAGACACTGATTCGACACATCCTGAAACTAGACCTGCCGACATCTTTAGAGGACTCCCTGACGTTAGCAGAGGCGTACAAACTGCCAACATCCCAGATAAATTACTTATATCTCATCCAGCTGACGAGCCAAAGCAAGGTAAGTTAAATTGGTCACAAAAGGTTCTATTTTTTTGTGCGTGCATTTTTTTGGGATGATGTCAGGAAGTCTCTTTTGCTGCTTTCAGACTGAAGAGGTGGTGACTGTTCTGAAGAGGCTGACGGCTGCAGAGGCAGAGTGTGTGATCGAGCGTCTCACGTGTTGGGCTCGGCTGCAGCTGGAGGACAAACAACACATATCTGAAGAGGTCAGACGAGGGAATGACTGTGTTTGTATGAAAGAAAAAAAAAGTTTTATTTTTGAGACTTCAATACAAGTACTAAATGCATATCAGCATCACGTTTATATTATTTATCATTAATTAACCATTATGAGGTACCTTTCTTGTTTACTTTAACTCTATTTTATTAACATCATAAATAGGCTTAATGGTAGAACATATACTGGAAGCACTTGCTAATTAATTCAAGATTGAAAAACTTTATTATCATTAAAGAAAAACAACAAAACAGCGTCTCCTGATGAGATATAATCTCGATTTTTTTATATATATATTTTGATTCAATTCAGTTTTGAATTAAATTGAATCAAAATATAAAATAAAAAAATCAGAAGTGATAAAGAACAATGAATAAAGAAGGCACATCAGATACTGTATCTTGGTATTGATGTAGCTTAGGCCCATCAGCAGTACGTTCAATTAAAGCAATAGTTCATATCTATTAAATTGGAGTTACTGCTGAAAGATTAACATAATCTCACCAGAAAGCTCACTGAATGACCTCAGTACATGTTTTATATGCACATATTTAAATAATTCTGCTTATCTCAACATTTTATTTGTTTACCAGCACAAGAAACACAAGATGGTTATAGCTCAGGTGATGGTGGAGGCTCTAAATTATCTGCATATAATCCAAAAAAGTAAGTGTTAATGGTAAATCCTCTTTAATTTATATACTGCGTGTTTGTGTTTCTTACACATTCACGCAGCCCTTTTTAAATACTTTATATGTTTTTTTACTTGCTTCACTTTTTTTTCTTCCTACTGATACTGATAACAGTATTTTGCTGTCCAGAGTCTTGCCCAAAACCCATATCGACACTTGAGTCATTGTGCATTGACACCTGGCTGCCTGGAGTTTGACTAGATTATACTGATTTAGTTCATTTAGAATCTATTAAAATAAAATCGATGTAATATTGGTTTTAAACATATCAACCCTAATCAACTCTGACATTGATTAGGGTTAATAAGACTTTATGCTTCTGACTTCGATACTAAGTTTTTATTTATTTATAAAGCACCCTTCATACTATAAGCAGCTCAAGGTGCTGTACAAAATTATGCAGAATAAACAAACCCATATAAAAAGAAAACAGCAACAACAATACAATAAAAATAATCATAAAAAATGTAATGATCAGGAAAGATGCAGTTCAAGGAATACGGTTAAAAAGATGTGTCTTAAGCCTGCTCTTAAAAATAGCAACACTCTCTGCAGCCCTCACATTTGTAGGCAGACYGTTCCACAGACGAGGGCCATAGTACTGAAAAGAAGCCTGTCTGTATGTGTGTGTTCTGACTCTTGGAACTGTTAACAGTCCAGTGCCAGAGGATCTTAGGGTTCGTGACGGTTCATAGGGTAGTAACAGTTCAGCCAGATAAGATGGCGCAAAACGATTAAGACATTCAAAAACCAGTAAAAGAACCTTAAAATCAATAAGTATTAAGTATTGTGTGTATTTTTGCAGATGATTCTGTTAAAAGCATGGAGTGCGAGAACAACCTCATCATGTTCCAGGCAATCGCCCACTTACAAGTAAGACTCAACTAAACAATGCTTTCAAATAATTCTCAGACTGTGTTTAACTCCGCCGCCTCTCTGACTTCCTCTCCAGGAGGATTTTGATGTCTTYGTCACCCCCTCAAACTACGAGGATCCGAACATCCGAAAAGAAATCCAGGAGCATCACATCACAGCTTATGAAAATACTCGAGGTCACCATTCGTCTAACGGGAAGGCTTTGTCAGCTCCAGTTGTGTCTAATGACCCAGATGGCAAGAGCAGGACGATCTCGACAGAAGCTGGACTCCGCCGGCTCGGACGGCAGCTGCAGCGCACCGAACAGGAACTCTGGTCTGATTTAGGCCTGCGGGCTCTGGGAGCGGGAAAAGTGGACAAGGCTCTGACGATACTCAGGTTGGGATGTGTGGATGGGTGCAACTGACAAGGCTCGCAGTTAAAAGCTGAAACTGTAGATTATTTACAGAATTAAACCATGTTTTTTTTATATTTTTCTTCTTCATCAGTGAGCTTTATGAGCACCACAATAACTGCAGTACAGGGAAGGTGTTGTTCACTGCTGCCAAGACTTTATGCCAGATGTTGGAGGCCGATGACCCCATGGTTCTTCCTGATGACATGGATTTACCAGCAGTCATCCACGGTTTGGCCTGTCAGGCCATTACTTTGTGCCACTCAGGTAAAAGACAACCTCACAGCTGACACATCTGTAATATTCAACAGATGTTTATGTTGTGATGTGCCAATAAGTAAGGGTGTCCCAATACTCCTTAACAACTCCATACTATATCAGTTTGAATCACTTTTATTGCCTATTTAATAGTGTGGAATCTTAGAAAAGTCTTCATCATCAAGTCAAACAGTGAACAATAGTAGGCATTAGAAAACTGACCTGTTTATTATTAATCAATGGGTTACATACATTTTAAACTTAAACATAAGAACATTTGAATAAAATAAATAAAATCTAAATTAGAAGATCCTAAAAAATAAAAAAACACACATTGTACTTTACTGACTGTGCCCAAAACAATGCAATCATTGTTCTTAGTCTTCACAAAAACAAGAGTGTAAACAAACTAAGCGTCACTAATAACAAGAGCAAATAACAACTAGTAATAATTAGTCATTTAATGAAATTGTTGGCTACCGTTCCCACTGCCGCATTTCCACTTTCTGCAGTCTGAGCATGATGTGGAGATTAGCCTCTTGCTGTCAACACTGGTGCAGGGAGCACAGAGGAGCTGCCAGGGTGGGGAGTTGAGTTTGGTTTTCTTTTGCACCTAGCTGCAATGTCGTTTTTTTGGACTTTAATCAAAAGTACTTCCACGTGTTGTTGCGAGCACGTGGGCTCTGCGTGCTGGATCCTAGCACTGCTGGATAGAAATGCAGGAACTAACTCCTAGAATGGACTGCTTGTATCTGAGTGCTTAAAGTAGAGATTTTAGATGCAGGCCGATTTAATCTGATATTTGTTTTTGTTTGATATTATTTGGACTGGGACACCCCTACCAATTAAAACTGAATTTATAAGTCTGCTACAAAATAACCATTTTTCACATTAATACTCCAGCCTTGCTGCTTTTTGTTACTTTGAACATCTGTATATTGTATAACCTCTGAAGATAAACACACATTTCACAGATTTGCTGCTTGACTGCCTGGAGCTCTGCAAGTCCACACGGATAGCGATGGATGTGTATCATCAGTGTCAGTTATCAGATAACTGTGGCTTCATATCCAAAGTCAGTACCTTATCTTTTACGCTTTTTTTATTTTGTCTAAGTTCAGGCTTGCTTTGAGGGTTGCACGATATTAGAAAAACTTATGTGTGATGATAATGTTTAATATTACAAACCCCACATTTTCTTCATTTCTCATTTTCTCTTCTGTCATCACAAACATCTAAACCAGGTGTCAAATCAAGGCAAATGAGAGCCTGTGGATCGATCATGTATATCTATAGCATGCTGAACATGAATGCATAATACTTTCCACAGAAAAGGGGTGAACGCAAGTAGGGGTCTCTGCAGTGCATGTTGTCCTGTGAGCATAGTTGGCCCTAATTGGTCGGATTGACTTCTTGTGGAGCAACTTAGCAGAGGAAGTAATGGTAATAGTAAAATAATGATTTATATGACTGTCTATGTACAGTTTAAAACAGAACGACTCAAATAAAAATGATTGTGAACATGTAAACATAATTTATTGACTTCAAATTTCATGCAGCCCGCACCTTCCTTTCTCAAGTTATGACTAAAACCAATCTTAAAAAACAGCTGCTTCCTGCCCGACTCGACCAAGCTACTCCCCGCTGCCCCCAGCGWTTTCAAAGCCCACCGTCAATCTGACCAATCACGTCTTGGGCCAACTACGCCCGCAAAATAAGAATCTCCTACTTAGTGACTGCAAAGACCTCCTTCTCAGTGAATGAAGAATTCAGACCAAAGTATTGCGGTTTAACTTTATATAGACCCCAATTGAAAGATTTAATGAAAAATAAGGATTTAAAAGCATGCCGTCTCCTTTAAAGTACAATTTATTATTACTTTGGTTTTAAAGATGATAAAATATGACAAGTTAAAATTGTAACTGTCTAATGTTGCAGGATTTGGGTTTGGGGGCAGAGAAAGATCCTTATTCACAGTGGAGTTTTCAGGATGTTTTCAATGAAGATTGCATCGTGCTGGATTCAGCGTCTGTGCTCCCTGTTCAGTACGAAATAACCAACTTCTTGCTGCCTATTTCTCTGGGTAGAAAATGTTCTTTTTCATCACATAATGGAGTTAATTTATTTATGGAGGCTGCAGCTAACAGTTTTCATGCATTTACCTTTATTCCAGATACCAAACTGTTTCCACTGGACTGTTCCTGCCTGTCACACTGCTCATTTAAAGATGGTAGGTATTTAAAGCACTCCACCCCCCCCCCCCCCCCCTCATTCTTAAAACACTGAAGTTATTCTTGTATCTCATCTGGCCCACATGAAGATGTGAAATACCTGCAGTCCCTCCTCGAATCACTCACCAACATGCTGCAGATGCTACAGGAGTCCAGTCAGTTGGAGTTGGCCCTCAGAGTCTTGGTCAGCACCTACATCAGCAGCTTGCAACACGTCACCTCTAATCGGATGGATGTCAGACTAAGTATGCAGGTACGACTAACCACTGCAGTGGAGTTTCTTGAACTGTAGTGCTTTTATTAACAATGGTTTTCGGCTTTTAAAAAGTTTATAAAAAGAATAATCTAAACTGAACATCTTCTCAGCTTTATGATGCACAAAATCTTAAGAACTACAACATATGCCTGAATGATCTTCGAAAAATGACAATGTCCTCCCTAAAGTCTGTGGTTGTCGGCCTTTTGAACAAGGTAAGTGTGCTGAGTTTACTTTTATTACATAAAATGTCTCATATTTCTGTATCTTTTTCTTTAATGCAGTTAATCTTTTTGTGTCCCTCTGGGCTTCAGGTGTTCAACTGGAGGGTGGTTGATTGTGAACTGGCTATTGGTCTTTGTACACTCCTCTCTAAGGCAGAAGTCTTCAAATTACTGTGGAAAGTTATTGACAACACTTGGCAAAACTATGACAAAATATTGGTAGGTAGAATTCTTCACTGTATTAGTTTTGATAGAAAATAAAGCTCAAGAGCTGGGCAAAATGAATGCTCAACTTAAGAATGGTTGCAATATATTTTTGGGATGTAAAGCACAACAAAACACAGACACGGTTGATGTGATGCTGATCCTTCAGTAGAGAAGCAGATTTTGTGGGATTGTTAAACTATTTACAGTCATAAATTTTGGAATATGTCACATTCACATCTCTGATTGTTTCTTTAAGAAATTAGTCACTCTGTTGGTTTTGTTTAAGGCCGTGGCAAGGATCGGAGCTAACCTCTGCTGCTTGTATAATGAACCAAAGGAACAAGTAAAGTTTCTCTCGCTCATCACGGATGCAGAGTGGGGAGTCAAGCTCGGCAAATTAGAGGTAAAGGTTTTTGTCTTTTGGATTCTCTTGTGATTTTTTTATTTCAGCTCCGTGTTTGTTTTGGTTTTTAACATTAATTTGGGTGCATGTCATCAGTTGTCCTATGTTTACCCTCGTCTCAGATATCCATCCAGCCAGTGTTTCGTCAACCATCTGAGCTGAAGAGCATTCTGATCCCTGAAATGGTGAAGAACAGGAAGATCACTCCAGATATCATTCTTCAGTATTGCAGGTTAGACACTTACTCCCTGTTAAATTAAACTTTCTACAATTAAAAATAGCTCTGCTAAACCCAACTGTTGTCTCCTCTGCAGCACCTTTGGTTTAAACCGTGACCGTGTGATCAACCAGTATATCACCACCTTACTGCTGCTCCAGGAGGACGGAGGCGGCGAAGCTGTCATTAACCAGGAAGAGCCCATGTGTGGTGCTGATACACTGGAACGAGTCCTGCAGATCATCCCGATGCTACACAGCATCAGCGAGCTCACCAGTAGTCTCTGTACTGCCGTATTCAAGGTACGAACGGCACATTTCTGTGATGCTAAGATATTTTTAATTGCTCACTTGAGATTATATTTGTGTAAATAACAGCAGCCAATCAAATATTTTCTTAAGAGATTAGGAATGTCTATTTCTTTTATCATCTGTGCATTTTCTTCTGCTCATACTGCAGTTTCTGTAATGTTTTAACAGAACTGTAGAAGTGTGTATAGCAACAAATCTTCTTATACGTCCAAGTAGTTCAGCTCTGATATTCATATGCATGATTTATTTTATTTCCTGATGCGTTTTTTGAAGGGGAGGTTTAATCAGAGGCATCTATTATCTTTGCTATGATTGCAGATTTTTGGGCTGCATTTTAAAAGCTCCCAGAATGAGGAGATAATAAAACAAACCACAAATTAATGAACAAAAATTGAAACCTGATATTTTCTTAAAGCTCAAGAAAAGTCACTTTGGATAAAACTAGATAAATCTAACTTTATATGACACAGCCCAGATTTATTGACTGTGATGCTTCTTTTCCTGTTGAGGACAAAAGACATTTTTGATGTTTTCTAACATTTAAAACTCCCTTCACATTTAGCTCAGCCCTTACAACTACGAGAGAATCGAAGTGGTGCTCAAGATCATACAGACTGCAGATGAAAGTGTGTTTTCTTTCTCTGTTAGTCAGGTAAAAAATAAATGGGCACTTGTGCATTTTAAATTAAATAATTCCTAAAAGGTTCAGACTTTAAACACCTTTAAAAAAATCTGTTTTCAGGCAATGGGCCTTCTTCAACACCTGAAGTCCTACAAGAGAGTCTCTCCTCCCTCGGACGTGGAGAACACGTATCTTCTTGAAAATGGGCTTTTGCCAGACCCCCTGTCCAACAGCAGACTGCCGTTCCACCTCCTCATGCAAAGCAATTATTACTGGAAGATAATCTGTGAGTTAATCCCTATAATGACAATAAATTTAAAAAGTGTACTCAAGCTTTACCAGTTCAGGATACTGCCTTCAGTTATAAATGCAGTGGTAGGTTTTTAGAAGAAATATTCATTCTTAGGTTTAGGTCCCAGTATTTTATTCAATACTTTAAACAATTACAGTATATTACCGTTATTGCATATCTAAAATAGAAAGTTGAACTTGTTTTTAAAGATTTGGTCGACTAAATCTGTTTTCACATTTCTCTGTTGTCAATTTGGGGAAAAAAATAAAATAAAATCTGTTTTTAGCTCCTGAGCTGAGTGACGAGACATTCCCCACACTGCTTCTAATAAGCAAACTTATGAAGGTAATGCATCCAAACCCAAAAAATATAGTCTTGCTCTGAATAATAAATTTTTTAAACTCCTCAATCCTTTTTTTTTTTCCCAGGTGAGCCTCGACAAGTTGTACATGTCAGCGGCAAGACACGTGTTTGAAAAGAAAATCAAGCCTCTGATTTTGGAACAAAGAAAAAGGGGCCAGGATCATGGCAACAGTGAGGTTCTCAAGGTGACAAAGACCATGATGAAATACATTCAGTGCATCCAGAGTCCAGAGTGGGCTGCAGCCACGGCTTATAAAATAACCCAGGAGATTCCACCAGGTTTGAGCTGCACATTAGAAACGGCACTTCTCTGATTGTTTCATCCACCTAATTGTTTTCTGCTTTTCAAAGGCTTTGAGAAGACGGCCGCACTGAAGTTGTGTTTGTCTCTTGGAGAGGCATGGCTTAAACAGCCCAACCAAGAGGTCTGTGTATCTGTTTTTACTAGCAGATACTTTATCAACTTTTAAAGAGGTAGAAATTAGTTTTTTAATCTGTCCTGTCATGGTTCTCTGAAGCAGGAGGCTTCACGGGCCCGAGGTGAGTCCTTTCTGTCCAAACTGAAGCTGCAGTTCCAGCATTCTGCTACCGAGAACACGCTGATCAGCAGTCAGCTGGACAGCCCAGAGCACATGAAGCTGACCGGGATGCCAGCGAGGCTCATCTTGGCCCTGTACGAGCACAGCAGCGTGGAACAGCGTTACAGAGAGACAGGAGGTCAAACTTATCCCGGTGAGCCATTTTTACCACAGCAGTCCTGAGAGACATTCCACCATAAGATCAAGTTTGTATTCAGGATTACTTTGATATGGTTGTAAGATACAGATGTTTTAAATTTAATTATCTTGATCAGTTGTAGTGCAGCCTTTCTGAAAGTCTTTCCTTTTTGAGTTCTTTTGGGTCTAGTTCTTGGACCTAACAGTGACAGCATATAGTGTAATTTTTTTAAAAAAGTGGACAATTAGAGGAGAGAAGAAAAATGTAAGGGCTAAAAAAAAACTATAGCAGATGAAGAGTTTCTAAAAATCATGTCTTTTAGAAATAGAAGAAGAAAAAAATGTTTTTGTGGCAGTCTACTCATAACAGAAAGCTTCAAGATCCAATTAAACAAAATTATGCCCAAATCATATATACCAGTAGGTTAATGATACATGATTTTATAAAATATAAATAAAAACATTCCTTTTAAAAGTGGTCACAAACTGGACAGAAAATTTGTAAATTAGCATCCAGTCCAAATAAAAACTTTCAAAAAGCTTGGACGGTTGATTTAAGCCACTTTAAAGATTACAAGAAATTCTTGGAAGCAAAATATTAAAAACTGAGGAATAATTCAAGACTTAGCACATTGTTGTTTTTCTTATTATCTTTTCATAATATTCATTAGTTTTATACAGAGCCAGACAATTTTCTCCTTTCTAGAACAACAGTATTCAGTTTCATAACTTATGATGGCATTGTGCGATGCGCGACATATTTCTTTGTGTCTCAGACATACATGCTGCAGTGAAGGAAATCGCTGCGATCACTAATGTGGATCTTGTGAAAATTCGTAACATGCTGTTAGAAAAGTGGATCTGCAAAACAGGTCCAGCTGTGGCCAAGGTTGGTTATTCTTACATTTTTAAATATTTAATCAGTTTTTCATCCTTTCTCATCAGTCCGTTCTATTTTGTCAATTCCTTACTGAAAAAAACATACATTTAATTTTCTTTAAATAAGGAAATAGTCAATCAAGACCATGCCACTGACATTGAGGAGGATCCAGACCTAAAGAGGTAAGGATCACTTGGTGCAGCATTTTGCTTGGGAATATATTTTTCTTAAAATCAGTTTGTAATAAAAAGAACTGTAGAGCTTTTAAATTATAAATGACATATGATTATATTTTATTGCCTGTTATGAACAAAAAATGCTCATGTTTTACTTTATTTGGTTGCCTATCTATAAATTATTTGGCATTTGCAATAATTAGACAAATGTTTGTAGCAAAAAATCCTCTCTTTTCTGTTTCCTGTGTATGTTTGTGTGCAGGGTGGTTTACATGCTGCAGTCCAGCTCCATGGGTGATGCTGTCTGTCTTCTGAAGCCTCTTCTGACTGCTGAGACCTGGGTGTGTCTCAAAAACTATTCATCTGCTTCAGTACAGGATCATGTTTCTCCAGTTATGGGCTGATGTTGTTTCAATTTCTCCTCTGCAGCCACTAGGCACATCTGGACCTCGTCTGACCTTCTGCCATCGGACTCGAGCTCTGCTTTGTCTAGTCCGTCTCGCCGACGCAGCGATGCTGGAGGCCCAGTTGCAGATCCCGAGGACCAAACTTGGGTGAGAAGCTATAAAACCTTTTTTAATGGTCCACTTGTGCTTGAAATCAGGATCTTGAATGTTCTGTGTTTTCTGTTCACGTGTAGGCATTACCTGAAGTGCTACATCTTTGTTTCTCAGCTGGAAGTGCTGAGCATCCCTCACACGGTTCAGTCTTTCCTCAACAGCCCCAAAGAGGGCTTGATTAAAGGGCTGTGGAAGAACCACAGCCATGAGCCACAGGTACAGACCAAAACAAGTCATTATAACAAATCCACCAACTGATCTGATTTTAGCTTTCACCAGATGAGAACATTCACACACAGACAGGCAAAGTTCAAACCTCTTTGATGTGTCAGGCTGTTCGTCTGGTGGCCGACCTGTGCCTGGAGTACCAGGTCTACGATCCTCAGCTGTGGAACAGTTTGCTGCAGAAGCTGCTGGGCTTCAACTCGGTGAGGGATCGATGCACCAACTCTCCTGTCATTAACACACTTCTGGAATATAGATATTTTTCTGTTATGATTATTGAAGGGGTGGACTATTAAACACCCTCAAGATAATGTAACCTAAGTCTGTTTTTGTTCTGAAATAGGAGCATGTTCTATTTTTTTCTGCAGATAAGCCACCTCCAGAAGGTGCTGGAAGCAATAGTGGCTGTACCAGCGTTGTGGGAGGTAATGTTACAGTTTTTTTTTTTCTTTACAGCTTCTAGGGTTCAAATAAAATATCTGCATGCAAAGGATGTTCTGCTAATATAAATAACACTTGGTTACTAAAGAGACCAGTTTAATGGCATATGTCATTATCACAATATTAAACAGATGTACTGTTGGAGCTGGTGTTGAGACTAAAAAAAATATAACACCTCTCAGCTTAGCTACAACAAACAATAACTTTAAATGTTCTTTTCTCTTTTAAACTATTTTTTTCTTCAGATTTCTAGTTTCTCCAGGACTTGGAGGAGTATGATACTGGCACCTTTTGTTTCAGGTAAAAGATCTATTAACCTAAACATAAAAGTGGCCAAATTGTTGACGGATGCGCATTAATCACTGTCGTGTTTTTAATAAAAAGCCCTGTTTTTAAAATAACCAGACAGTTCATATCCTGTAATACAGTGTATGTTTACTGAAAGTGGGCCTAAAGTTAATGTAGCATTACTCATTGGATTAATATTAGAACATGAGCACGTTTCTAAAATGTATCTCAGTCAGACATGTCCGGTTTGTTTAGCCATGCAGGCTGAGGGACATATGCATGGTTATTTTTGTGCACAACCACAAAGATACAGACATCTTCTGTCATTTATAAATGACTACTTTCTGAAGCCTGTTGATAATACCCACGCTTGTACTGGTTGTCATTTATATGAAACACTCTGAAATTTCTTGCCTTTTTAAATTTTTATTATTTTTTTATGACAGCTTCAGTTCCCTTGAGCCCAGATCAACAAGCAACCTTCTACAAGACCTTTGTCCTCCTGCTCAAGTATGTTTAAGTCAGCCCTGAAAGATTTTTCGTACATGAGGAGTATCTCAGTGTTTACTGCGTTTAGGCCTAAGAATACAAACAGAACATCTTTGTTTTAGCTTTTTATTAAAACAGGTTAAAGTTTAGCAATCCATGTTATGTTAGGCACAACAATCCACGCAGGACATTAATATGACTGTAGGATCATTATTTTTTCTCCTTTTTTGTCTTTATTGTAATAGTTTTGTCATTTTACTCCCTTCAAAGGTGCCCCTTCCTGTTGAATTTGGACTTGGTCGGAATAGCAAACCGCTTTGCTCAGTTTAATCTTCCCGCCTTTGCCCTGGGAACACTGCTTCTCATCTCGTCTGCCAGTAAAAGGGAGCAGCAGATCAAGGTAGGAGCTGTGAACATGTGAGAAGTTATTTCTGGGTTTTTATTGTAACCTCAGACGTTTTTGTTTTTCCCTGTCCCCAGGCCTTTCTGTCCATCTGTAACCCAGTGGCCGTGCTCGAGCAGGTGGATGAATTTATGAACACAGGAGAACTGGCTGGAGTGCCCTCACAGGTCAGAAATCAAACTGCCTTAGTGCAACAAGCTTGTGTCCCAGAAACAAATTATTCTTACTTCCAAAACGTTTAATGTAGCTCAAAATGTTATTAAAACAGGAATTTAAGGTCGTATCGCCTACATAAAACACTGCARAAACATAACATTTAACAAGTGTCCTTTCGAGTTTTTTAGGATATGACACTTTTTACTCTCTCTCTGTGCATCGGCTTTACTGTCAGAGGTGTGGTCACCATGTTGACCATAAAAGGCCACTGGCAGCAGCTTTAACATGTCTTTTTAATCTTAGTTCTCCTGGCACTTCTTATACCGTTCACACATGAAAATATAGGCTTTGTTTTGTCTAAATTCATACAAAGCTGATGTTTGAATTTTGTACAGCAGCTGGCAAGTGTCTAAAATATAAACTGAACAAAAAAGAAACTGACTTGTAATCTTTTTTGTTCTTGGAACAGTAAGCATGACTTCTTATTTTCTGCCAAACACTGTCACACTCATCTTTTCCTGTTTACACAACATTAATGCCTTCATGTTTCCACCCTTGTAAGAAAAATAACCTTTAAACAGGAAATTTCACTGGAAGRGCCTGATGGTGTGAAGTAAACAAAGTTGTTGCCTAGTTTCTACCATATTAGTTGTAAAACTATTTTCTGTGAATACACACAGCTGTGGCATGCTTTTTTAAACTGTGCAACAACATGAACACAAGACGATGCTTGCTGCTTTAATGATTTTCTGTTTGTTTGTTACCTTATTTTTCACTTATTTCATTTATCCATCTTTTCGTTCTCATTAAACCCTCAGATCAGGGAGACTGTATTAATCTTCATGAGTCAAAACGGACAGCTCCAAAAGCTGATCCAAACAAAACACTTCAACCAGCTGAAGCAGCTCGTTGTGAGGCGGGGTCAGCTCAACCAGGTCAAGGACTTGGTGGACTACCTGGTCAGCCACAACTGGTGAGTTTTATCTCAGTATGATGATATACACTCAAATATATTAAATGTTTAAAACATTAAAAGAAAAACACAGGGAAAAGAACACCAAACGATGGGAATGTTGTGGTTATTTAAATACATTTTTATAGTAATATTGTGTTTTGCTTTTTATTTATTTATTTATTTAGTCATTCAAGGCTGTTTGGTCCTAACTGCTGACTGCCTCTTATGTACAAACCTGGGAGTTACAAAAATAACAGTCTTTAAGAAATATGTTTTACCTTTTGGGTTCACCTCTTTAAAAGTGTGTTTTGTTTTTGTTACCAAAATTTGTTTTAACCTTCCTCAGTCAGGAGGAGGCTGATTCTCTCACTTGTGAGTATCTGAAGCACCGACAGGGAAAAGGGAAAACGCTGCCAAACGGCTCCATTTCTCACAGCTCCCTGAAGGTATAGAGTCAAAGTTGTTGTTGTTGTTGTTGTTGTTGTTGTTTTTGTTGTTAAAAAAAAACTTTAGTGGTGTTTCAATAACATATTAACAATTTGTCTTTCAGTTTTTTGCAAAACCTGTAATAGATTTTTTTGTTTTTGTTTCAGGAGTTTCTTAAAATGGAAAATGGTGAATCAGGATAGGAAGGGTCTGTTCCTTCAGTCATATTTATATCTTCTGTCTCTCTCTGCCTTCAGCTGAGATGCAGTGTTTGCACTCTACATTTATCCTGTTTATGTAATATTTGAAACTTTTTGACAAACTTTTTGTGCTTTTTAAATGATAAAACTTACATCTGCTAGTGCCTTTTTGTTTCACTATTTTAGTTTTTTTTTTCTTTTTACTTCCTCCTTAACTGGTTCATTGTTATTTCTGTGGGAAACACCTATTCAAACTAAATGAATATGGTTCCAAAAAGAGGGTGGATCTACACTTTGATGCAGAACTAATTGCAAGAGTTTTATCTTTCAAAACATTGCTTTCAAAAACCGTCTTGTAGTTATTTATTCAGAGAACAAACTGTAGTTCTGCATTTATGGAGAGGTCAAAAGCAATGTGTAGAATCAATTAAGGTGAAGGAAAAATAAAACATTCAAGTGTAGACTTTTTAAAATTGTTCCAACCTTTATGTTGTTGACTCTTTCTGTGGTATTAAAGAGAAAATAACAAAACTGCCTATTTTAAAATATTTTAATTATTGGTCAGTTGACTAGTTTTACAAATAGTTAAGTTGAAGGTAATAAATAGGGGGAAATGTCAGCTTTTTTATGCACTTGTTAAAAAATATTTTAGTGAAACCAGACAGAAACATCTGTTCAATCCTGTTTCAGACACTCTAAAGGTCACAGTTTAACAACTGTCTCATCTGTAAAGGATCAGTTCCTTTTACTCAGTCGCTGGAGCGCCTACATGATGGTCAATTAGAGAGTAGACCTGATTAAACCTCTACCTGACCTGTTAATGCTTCTATTTTTACATAAAAACTTAATTTAGTTCAAGTCACATTTGTTGTAAATTGGCTCATATTACAAAAAAAGACCAATAGGGTTGTTCTGCGTTTTCACTGTTAATATGACATCACTTACTAGCAGTCAAACCCAAAAGAACGCATATTTGGAGTAAAAGTAGCAGTAAAGTTGTGCAAAGATGACAAATGCTGATTAACATTCTGCATGAGAATCTAAAAGTTGTGCCTCTTTGAGATTTTTGCAACCTTGCTTTTCTGCATTTTGCAGAGTTTTTTTCCCCCTCCGCTTTCTAAATGTATCCTTTCAAGGAAACCATCTGAGAACCAAAAGCATGAAACATTTGTGGCTTTAGGTGTTAGTTCTACACTGACACAAGACTGTAGGCAAATATCTGCAGCCGTTAATAAAGTATGAATTGGCATCATGCAAGTTTTGATTTTAATAATAAGATAATGACTAGGTAACACTTTCATTACCTTTTTAGATCGTTTTCTGATTGCTTTCTGATTATAGTGTTGGAGTCTTATGTTTATTCTAATAGGAAGCAAATGTTTAAATCTTCAATAATGGTGAACCATGACCTAAAATTATTTTTAAAAAAGACAATTGTTTATGATGATCTTAAACATGTTTATTTTATCAACCAGTCAGTCGGGGTCACAACTCTGACTTATATTCTGTGGATGAAAAGTAAAAAAAAAATCTACTGTTTTTATTTGTTAATACAACATAAAACTAAAGGAAATCATGCACAAACAGCACCACCACATGTATAAAAGAACCATTTAGAAAGTGCATTCATATGAGAACAAGTTAAAGGGCGCCTGTGCTCCTAGTTTAAACACCAAAAGTGAGTTCATGTAAGCCAGTTTTAGCAAGACTTTCAAAGAAAAATGATGCGTCACACACAAAAAAATATGTCACCAAACTAAACTCCTTTTTGATCAGACTTTTAGCAGTGAAAMTTCCTGTCTCCTTGCGATCACAGCTGGCTGATGGAATGGGTTGGTGTTTCTCGGGTTTTCCTCTCTGTGCTCTCCACCGTCTCTTCTTGAGGCAAATGCAAAGCTTTCCTGCAGATGTTCTTAAAGGCCGGGCTGGAGAAGTAGTAAACCAGCGGGTCCAGCACGCTGTTGAGATACGTCAGACTGATGGTGACGTAGAACACGACGGTGATGTGCTCCATAGAGGCGCAGTCCTTGAAGCTGAGCATCTTGAACCAGACGAACAGCAGGGTTATGTTGCTCGGGAGGAAGCAGACGATGAAGAGCACCACCACCACGATGATGAAGTACAAAGCCTTCTTGAACTTGGCCTGCTGGGCCAGCTGCCTCTTCCTCAGGTGGCCAGTGATGTGGAACGTGCAGTAGAGGATCACGAGCAGGGGCATGTAAAAGGAGAAGAGGAACGTGAACTTGTGCCAGGACAGGTTGCCTCTGGACTCCGTGTCAACCATGAAGCTCTCACAGTAGGTCGTGTTGACGTGCTGCAGAGTGAAGACGTGAACCGTCATGGAGATGGTGACCAGCCACAGTCCGAGCGCTCCCAGCGTGGCTTTAGTTACACTCAGAGAGTTGACAGGGTGATGGGGGTGCACCACTCGCATGTACCTGTCCACGGCAATGGCCATCAAGAAAAAGGTGCTCCCGCTGCGATTCATGGCCAGCATGAAGAGGCAGAGCTTACAGAGCCCGCCGCTGAACGTCCACCGGATCCCCAACAGGTAGTAGATGGCACGGAGCGGCAGGCCCAGGGTGAGCATGAAGTCAGTCACGGCCAGGTTGAAGAGGAGCACCGTGCTGCTCTTCCACGGCCTCAGGTGGAAGCAGAAGATGAACAGAGCCAGCCCGTTTCCAAAGAGGCCCAAGAGGAACTCCATCATCAGCACAGGAGGCAGCGCCCTGACCAGCACCGGGCTGCTGAAGTTGCACAGCATGTCGAGTTGTTCTGCTCCTTCGCTGTCTGCAGATCAAATAGTCACTGTGAAGGATGTTCGTCCTCTTTAATAGGGAACCACAACTCAGAAAAAAAAAAAGTGAGGTGAGACGTTTGTGTTTTACAGGAAACCAGTCTTTTGCTTTTGAAATGCTAAAGCAAAACTTTTTTTTAATAAAATTTCTGGGAAACTTAAAATTGTCATGTTTTTACAGTCTTTATTTTGAAATACCGTAAAGCATTATCCACATGCGATAAATAATTATACAAATCCATTTAACCGCTTTCTAAAAAGTACAAGTCAAATAAACTGACTGGAATAAATTAAAAGACCCTTTAAATCTTTTGCAAGGTATTTTGAGAAATAATTATGCTTTTATTAATTAGTTCACTTCCTGTTTAAAATGCAACTATTAATTCCTCTTCTTAGTTCAATTTCTATGAATAGACATGACACAAATAGCATCTCAGCGCTGGTGTTTTTGTGGTGAGTTCTCTCTCTCTCACTTTGTGGTGAGTTTCTCTCTCTTTCTCTCTCTCTCTCTCTCTCTCTCTCTCTCTCTCTCTCTCTCTCTCGTTTGCTGTTCTAAAATGAAATGGAGGGACAGCTGAGTGAAACGGAACATGTTTAAGGTCAAATTTCAATCCATATAAGCAGAAGTACTGTATGACTCATTTAAGAAGAGCTTAATGTCAAGATCATTTACATCATTTGTTCTAAAGTTGGACTGAGGGGGCAGCAGCTTGACCACGGAGGCCCGTACATCTTCTGCAGCCTCCTCTTCCAGCTTAGCAGGGAGGGAGGACTCCCAAGATGTTCCCAGGTCAGCCGAGAGACCAGTCTCCAGCATATCCTGGGTCTCCTCCCAGTTGGACATGCTCAAAACGACTAGATTCCCAAACCACCTCAGTTGGCACCTCTCCATGCGGAGGAGCAGCGGCTCTATTCAGAGTGTCTCCCAGATAATTGAACCTCCCACCCTATCTCTAAGGGAGAGTCCAGCTACTCTTTTTGACCACTTGTATTGAACATCTTACTCTTTTGATCACTACCCAAAGGTGGGACGTGCAGTGAAGAATCTGAGTTCTTAGCCTAGCAGCTCAGCTCCCTCTTCATCACAGCAGACCGGCACAGAATACGCAGATTTGCAAAAACTGCATCAATCTGTCTGTCATTCTCATGCTTTATTCTTTCCTCACTTTAAACAAAATCCCTGAGATGCTTAAACTCCACCTCTTGAGGCACCTGCAGCCCATCTGCCTACAAACCCATCGGCCCACCCTGGTTATGATACAGTTTTCACGAGCCGCTATGAAACTTTTGGTCTGGTCAAACTTAAAATATTTCTCCAAACTGAGGCTGTTCAAAGCGGTATCTACAACAGGTGAGATATTTATTGTTCACTACTTCTCTACAAAACCCAACTTCAAAAGATTGATGCCTTTTCAAGAGACACCATCATTTTATTTACCCTTTTTTTTTTTTTTTTTTTGGCGGGTTTGGGTGTGTTAACTGAACAAAAGCTTATCTACTAAAAAGCCTGATGGTGGCAGCACCACACTGCTTTAAAGAAGTGTTTATTGAATTGAAAAAAAAGGGGGGGGGGTAGAAAAATACTAGGTTTACATTTGACTGCTCTTACAGGTGAACATAAATGCTGTCAGCAATATTAAAATCAATTAAATCACAAAATGAGGACATCATTGTGTGTTTGCCGTTACATTCAAGAGAAAAAAAACTAAGTGAAACATCTGATGCATAAACCTGTGACTGAAATGTGTCATTCAAAACTACTCATTTATCTTTACCACAAAATAAACAAACTTTGTGCATTGATCAGCTTTCAGTATTGAATGTCTCTTAAACACATATGCACACACATACTTTATGTTTACTGTTCCACATTTGTCTACATTACTTTCAGTTATTATACAGTATCAAGATTTCTTATAATACAGAACATGAAAATGCCAACTTGTCACAAACAGTCCAACTAAAGCATTAAGAAATTGTTAGTCTCAGTGACTTGGAACCAATAGTATTGATGATATTTAAGATGTGATGACCCAAACACTTAATAATAATAATAATATATAGACGGCTACCACTGTCTCTCAGCTACAGACGACACGCCACACCCTCAGTCCCTGATTATCATCTCTGGGGATTTCAATCATGCCTCCCCCTCTTCCACTCTCCCAAACTTACGTTGATTGCCACACAAGTGACAACAAAATCCTGGATCTGCTGTTTTCCAACACCAAGGAGGCAGCTCATCACCCCTCCACCTGCTTGGTCACTCAGATCATAATCTGGTCCTTCTCCACCCCACCTACACCTCTATTGTGAAGAGGAAACCCCCCACCAAGAAGGTGATAAGGACTTCAGTGAGGCCCTGAGAGACTGTTTTGAACGTACAGACTGGCAGGAACTCTGCAGGCCTCACGGCGAGGACATCAACGCCCTGACCCACTGCATCACCGACTTCATGACCTTCTGTGTGGAGAACACTGTGCCAACTAAGAAGGTACAGTGCTTCTCCCACAATAAACCATGGGTGACCCCAGAGCTGAAGACCCTGCTGAACGAGAAGAAGAGGGCCTTCAGATCTGGCAACAAAGAGAAACTGAGGAGAGTGCAGAAGGAGCTCAAATATAAGATCCGTAGGGGCAAAGAAAGCTTCAGGAAGAAGATGGAGGAGCAGCTCCAACAATACAAAGTCAGAGAGGTCTGGAGAAACATGAATAAAATCTCTGGCCACTTCAAGGACAATGGAGGAGCCACAGGGCCTGCAGATCGGGGGTGGGCTAATGATCTGAATTTCTTCTTCAATAGATTTGACTCTAGCCCGTTGATCACCTCCCCCACCCTCCAGCTCCCAACTAGCCCCCACTGTATGCTGCTCCTCCACTTTCCGCTTCCTGCACTCTCCTCACCCCCACCTCCCACTCCAACCCAGCCTCACATTCACCTCACAGCTGATCAGGTGAGAAATCAGCTCAGGAAAACAAAGATCATGAAGGCAGCAGGACCGGACAGAATCAGCCCCAGACTACTCATAGACTGTGTGGACCACCTCTGTCAGGTGGTCCTGCACATCTTCAACCTGAGTCTGGAGAGGGTTCCTGATCTGTGGAAGACTTCCTGCGTGGTTCCAGTGCCAAAGATCACACATCCCAGGGAGCCCAACCACTACAGACCTGTGGCTCAGACTTCTCACCTGATGAAGACCATGGAGAGGCTCATCCTGCACCATCTTTGTCCTGTGGTGAGCCCAGCACTGGACCCCCTGCAGTTCGCCTACCAGCCCGGCATCGGGGTGGAAGACGCTGTCATCTACCTGCAGCACCGATGTCTCTCTCACCTAGAGCAAGCAGGAAACACTGTTAGAGTCATGTTCTTTGACTTCTCCAGTGCTTTCAACACTATCCAGCCTGCTCTGCTGAGAGGGAAGCTGGAGGGAGCCAGAGTGGACAAGTAGCTGACAGCATGGACCATCGACTATCTCACCAACAGACCACAGTATGTGAGGCTCAGCAACTGTGTGTCTGATGTGATAGTCTGCAGCACGGGGGGCACCACAGGGCACGGTCCTCTCACCCTTTCTGTTCAGTTTGTAGTCGTCAGACTTCAGGTACAACTCAGACCACTGCCATCTTCAGAAGTTCTTGGATGATACGGCCATTACTGAATGTGTATCAGACGGGAATGACAAGGACTACAGGGGGGTCATCAGTGACTTTGTTGGTGGGTGTGAGACCAACACTCTCCAAATCAATGCCAGCAAGATGAAGGAGATGGTCATTGATCTCAGGAGGAAGTCACCCCCTACAGCACCGGTGAACATCCAGGGAAAAGGCATTGAGACAGTGGACTCTCACAAGTACCTAGGTTTTCGCCTCAACAACAAGCTGGACTGGACTATGAACACGGACGTCTTGAAGAGCCAGAGTTGACTCCACCTACTGAGGAGGATGAGGTCCTTCGGTGTCTGCAGGACTCTGTTAAAGACATTCTACCACACGGAGGTAGCATCTGCCCCTCTCTATGGAGTGGTCTGCTGGGGGGCTGGAGGTACTGAAAGGGACATGAACAGGATCGACAAACTGGTACGGAGGTCAAGCTCTGTGCTGAGATGTCCTCTGGAGCCTGTGGTAGTGGTGGGTGAGAGGAGGATGTTAGCGAAGCTGACAGCCATCATGAACAACCCCCACCACCCTCTGCATGAAACCGTGGGGGGGGGGGGGGGGGGGGGGGGGGCAGCTCCTTCAGTCAGAGACTTAAACATCCTCGCTGCAAGACAGAGTGCTTCCGTACGTCATTCATTCCAACTGTATTTACTGTATAACATCATGATGTGTTCAGTCACTTGGACAGTTCACCTACAATGCCATCACTAATATGCACCTTCATATACATTCATTTATTTACTGTACTAGGTATATGTACATTGTTATACATCATAAGTATAGGGTTGTTTGTTTTTATTTTTTTTCTTTTACTTGTCTTTATTCTATCTCACCCTCTCCTGTATTGAGCAGCAGTAATGTGCAAATTTTCCCACTGTGGAATCAATGAAGTTTTATTCTATCTCTTATCTTATTATTATTAGGGCACTAAAACAGTTTAATATGTTTGATGTGCACTTGGATGATACCAAAAAGTATCTTTTTGTTTCTGGTTTGCATCATTCTCATCAGTTTTTTGCAACAGATGATGTCTGAAGGGTTTCTGACTCTCAGGAATGAATCACCTTTTTCCTCAAACTATGGTAAAAGTACTACTGCTGGTACTCGTGCTCTCTGTAATACTCAAAAGAAACTTTGGTATTGACAATTTAAAACCTAAACAATGAGGTAAATCATCATAAACTGAATCTGGAAATAATACTTGATAGTGGATACAGAATCAGTCTAATGGCCAGAACAGATTGGAGTAAAAGTCAAAGGTAAATGAAAGGATTGTTAAAATTATTACAATTCATTGAGATGTATGGAGTCATCCTACAGCACTGTGATGAGTGTCAATCAAGGAGTTGTTCTTAAATTAACGACTCAGCAATTCCTTATAAGGATGGGGAAAATGTGCTAATAGCTCATTTAGCTTTGGGTGGTAAACATGTTTGTGTGTCTAATTTTGCATCTCAGGACCCAACTCCTTTACCACAGAAGGAATTTGCATGTAAGTTGATTCTGCTTTGTTTACATCTGGGTGTGGAAGAAGCTTATAAGAAGGGGTGACCCAGAAAGTTCTGGGGAGTACTTAGATTTGGTCTAGGCTCTGTTATTCTGAATAAAACTCACTGTTCAAGAATAACTTCTGCCTTCAGAGTCATTTCTTTAAGCGCTCCATCACCGCTGAGAGTTCGAAGATGCAGAAGAACGGTCATCATTAAAATACACTTCATTATCAATTCAGATGTCTTCAGGTTGGTTGTTGGCATTAGGGACACATCTCTAATCGTGGACCCCCTCATCTGAGGGTGGCACAGGTGAGGATGATCAGGCCTCATTCAGCTGGGTTTCTGGATTGGTTGAGGTGGATAAAGAACGTGGTTTGGTTTTGGACTTAAGAGACCACGGCTTGTTTTTCAGTTTGTTATCATCATGGTAGTATTTGTTATGAAAAGTTTGAGAATCAGCTGATCACATGTTGATCATCACTGCTGTCTAGTGAATGTAAGTTGAAAGTGCTGCTCATTATTTGATGGATGCCTGCTTGAGCTGTTGTTGAGTGAGGAGGAGCTTTTGTGTTTAATTAGATGTATAAGGTGTGTCATGAGTACAGAAAAGTAGTTTTTTTTTATTCTCCAACTTTCCAGTACAGACAAACCCAAAGGTTCACAAAATTATTCTTGCGTGACTTCATTCATTCAGCGTAACGTCAGAAAATCAGCCACATTCTTTTCATGACACATCCCTCAGTTATTTGTTCGTGGATGTGACTTACCTTTGCTTTACCTTTTGAGATTGGATTCTGCTGTGTGTGTGTGTGTGTGTGTGTGTGTGTGTGTGTGTGTGTGTGTGTGTG